TATGCGTGCAAGCTATAATGGGAAAACTGGCCCGAAGCCTGGCCCTAGAGGCATAAAAAAGGCCACTGCACTCGGGCTCAAATGCAGGCTCTATTAATGAGTACAGAAAACTTATTAAAAAATACTGACACAAATTTTAAAAATCTGCCTTTTTCTTTTTTTAAATATAGAATAACTTCTTGATGGGGAAGGAAAATGGGGAAATCCACCAGAATATATGATTGAGCAAAAATCTGTCTAGCTCAACATGAGTCAAAGTTTTAACTTCCACTTGCACCAAAGAGAAACTAAATATATCAACTGTGTATATCATTTGTTTATAGTGATGGCTCGGGCTTTTAACCTGATTTATGGTTGTATTCATAAAACAATATAGTCGTGATAGTCGTGCGATATTCTGTCAGTAACAGCAGTCATCTCGCCTCTTCACCCTTGGGTATTACTCCACCCACATACAGCAACAAGCAGCGGACACTCTAAAGTTTAACAAATATTGCTGCTGTTGGACAACTGTTGGACAACTTTTGAGGTTTTTTTAGTCAAGAATGTAGTTGTTTAGATTGCAACTATGCAGTTTATTTATAAGGATAATGCCTATTTTAAATATTTATAATTTCAGAGACAGCGCGTCGGCGGCCATAAGCATTGTTGTGTTGGCAGAAAGAAAGAAGAAATGCCAGTATGTGTCTAGCGGTTTTCCTTATTGCAAACATAACAGTAATCTGGTAGTGATTGCGCTGCTTTTTTGGGGGGGTTAATTATTGTGATATCCTGCTTCCAACAGGAAAATAGTGTAGACTGTAATACTGTAGGGAGATATCTCAGTAGACTGATGCCATATTTCATGCTGTTCAGCCTTATAATCTTTAAATGTAAGCAAAATAACCTGTTTTGTTATCACTTTAGACATTATGCTAGAGAATCATTCAAACACTAGCTCTAAAAAGACGTTGGTGAAATAGTAACGACTTCTGCTGTTCTGACGTCAGCTGCAGATGTGAATAATTGGCAGAAGAAACAAGTTCCCAATACAAAAGGGTTTTTAGACTCTGTGTTTGATTTTCTTTTTTACATACATGATTATGTCCTTGAAGTGTTGAATAAACACAACATAACACTCGCAGCAGTGCAATGTGACTGTATATCGTCACTGGTGGGACGCTAATCTGTGCGATATTGTGATACTGCTCATACATTCATTACACATACATACATACTGATTCAATATATACAATTTCTCTACATTATACGCTACAGCAGCTCAAACTAGTATTACCTTATAATTTTGTTACAATAATTATGCGGTGACCTTCCATTACCTCTGTATGCGTTCAGACTTGCATTGCCGCCACTGAACAAGTGCAATCTTGCATCTACAGTTTCAGCATAATCTGGAAACAGCAGTGCTGGCTCTGACCTTAGTATTACATTATTACCTAAGTGTTATAAGTGTCAAAAAGCAATATATGAAATATAATTAATTAGTGGGAATATTATTAATTAAAAATAATCCTCAACATTTTCCAAGTACCAGCGACGTCCAAACCAGCTAATCAAAGTTTTCAGGTTCACTCGAAAATTCCCAGCTAGTGTACTTGGGGCTGGCTGAGATCAAATCTGTAGGAGGTTCAGGAGCAGGGTTGGACACCCCGATTTAGACAACTTTAACGCAAGAATAGAAAACACAGCCCTGCCACTGTCAAGAGTTATACTAATCCAGTCAATGCTCAAGAAGATGATATACTGTTATATTTAGGCTTATTGATTACATGGAGCCTTTCAAAGACAGAAAGTGGATGGGTAATTCTTACTTCAGCAGTCTGTAGTAACCATATCTGAAAGCCTCCTGAAGCAGGACAGAGAGCACAACTCCGAAAATGAGCAGCCCTCTCTGCTGAGTGGCACTGTTCTTGTTGCTGATCTGGACCGTGATGAACCACACGAGAGACGACAGCAGCAAAGACACCAGCCAGAAAAATGCCCTGATAAATCAGAAACAAACTCGTGTTACAAACAGTCACATACATCAAACAACCCCTCTCAAAAATCTGTCATCAACATCAGCTTCCCAGCTCCACAGCTCGTTAGCTCTCTTAATGGAGCAGCTTGCACCCCCCCCCCTCTCTCTTTTTTAGCCTTTTTTTCCACAAACTGTGGTTTGAAACATCATTAACTCTCAAAATTTGGAGATGAGAGGGTTTGCTTTTTTCTGTCTCATTCTCAGAGTCTACTCTGATCAAAATCACAGTGAGTGAACTGTGAAGTATAAGTTGAACTCAACAACTCCAGTTAATCATAAATTAATAAATGCTTTTAATTTCAAAATATTTTCGCTTTGGCCTTTAAACACTTTCCATCGTATTTTCGATCAACTTTATTATGCGAGTAGTCAACAGAGTCTTTAGTCAATATTAAGAACTGACTAAAAAAAATCTTTTTCATCAATACTCAACCCTTTCTATCCTATTGTCAACTCTATATGAAATAAGTAATTTATTCTATATATTAGGTAGAGTAATTGGGCTTTGTCTGGAAAATGACAATTTGACAGAACAACAAACATTTCCAGTTGTTCTGATTGATTGAATTATTGCTTTCTTATCCAACAAATATAGATTTTTCATAGCAAATTTAAAACATTGATTTTGCATGTAAAAATAAATGTAAACATCTGAAAAGATGACATCTTTAATAAAGATGATAAATTGAAAATATTCAATTCATTCATCAATTAATTTAATAAATCTAGATGGATGTTTCCAAGCGTCTCTTATTTTTTCCATAGCTGTGTAAATATAAAACACACGAGGCTCATGATTGATTGCATTTTGGTGACTTTTAAGTCACTTCAGATAAAAGTGACTACCAAATGATTAGATGTAAACTGTAATGTAATTGTGTGATGGCAAAGCTGAATTTTCAGCAGAGGTCATGAACCTAGTCTTGAGTGTCACGTGATTCTTCAGGAATTCATCTGGTATGCTAGTTTGCAGCTCAAGAAACATTTATTATTAACAAACCTAAAAACAGTTTTGTGGCCAAATATTTTAACGTGGAAGTAATCGATTTTAAAAGAACATTTAATTGAAATCTCGCCCTTTCTTAATCTAAAGCCGTAGCTTTCGCTTCTGATGTTTAAAGCATCTTAATTTCGGTTCACACAAAAGACTTACTGAAAACAAAAATTTGAATAGAATTTTTTTTTGCACATTTAACTTTAAATTAAAAAAAAAAAACATTTCTCTGCAGTTTGCTCTGTTCCAACTATATTTGATCAAGCCTCAGATTCTGGTGAGCAGATGAGAAAGGCAGTCATCAGCCCAAATGAAGTGCTGCATCACGGGACTCTCAGCCACACACGGAACCACAAGCGCGCGCGCACATACACACAAACCGGGAGAAGCACATCTGCCCTCGTACTTACCCTGCTATGAGAAAGATGACACGCAGCGGGTCCCGAGCGATTGTAAACATAAACAAAGCGATGGCCGGGCCGAACGCGATAAACGTACAGCCGAAAAACACCGCCACTGTCATGATGTAGCTCGGCTAACCTGCTAATGCACTCAAAAGACCGCCGCTTCAGACGGATAAGTGCTCTCGGAGGCTATTAACACACTCCATCCACGAGAGAGTCCTACGGCTGTCAGTCAGTTTCTGTAAGCACCATAGATGAATCGTTATGGAGGCGTTTGTTGTGCCCGTTTTTTCCAAATGTGTTGAGTGCATTCAGCGCAGCGATTGAAACTGTTCAGCACAGCGTCTAAGGTTACTTCCGGTTCCTAGTCATGTGACTTCATGTGTTTCAGAATCTTTTTTTCCGTATCAGTTTTCTTACCTCACCCACTGAAGTCCGTTTATTAACAGCGTTATTGAACCCTACTATTGTCCTGTGAAACTTGACACACATTTAAGTGCATGAATTCCCGAGTCCTATATATCCGCCTTAAAATGTATTGTTCAAATTATTATTTTAAAGTCTGCAATGTATTTCTAAAACTGAAATTTATTACGAAAATGTTTACTCATATTGGGTTAATTCGTCAGCATTCAATTATATGTTTCAATTATATTTATTTAATCATATACTTACCGGCCACTTTATTAGATATACCTGTCCAACTGCTCGTTAATGCTAATTTCTAATCAGTCAGTCTAATAATCACATGGCAGCAACTCAATGCATTCAGGCATGTAGACATGGTAAAGATGATCTGCTGCAGTTCAAACCGAGCATCAGAATGTGGAAGAAATGTGATTTAGGTAACTTTGAGCGTGGCATGGTTGTTGGTGCCAGACAAGCTGGTCTGTGTCTATTTTAGAAACTGCTGATCTACTGGGATTTTCACTCACAACCAAGTCTAGGGTTTACAGACAATGGTCCGGAAAATAGAAAATATCCAGTGAGCAGCTCTGTGGGCGCAAATGCTTTGTTGATGCCAAAGGAGAATGGCCAGACTGGTTCGAGCTGATAGATAGGCAGCATTAACTCAAACAAGCACTTGTTACAACCGAGGTATACAGAAGAGCATCTCATAACACACAACTTGTCCAACCTTGAGGCGGATGGGCTACAGCAGCAGAAGACCACTCCGGGTGCCACTTCTGTGAGAGGGTGCTCGCTGCAGAGCCATTTGAGGAGAGCTGAGCTCCAACGAGGGGGAGCATGAGCTGTCGCTCCTCCTCCTGTAAGCTGTTTTAATGCGTACACCAACCCCACCCCTAACCCTACACCCAGTGACATCACTCGTAGAAGAAGTGCAAAAAAGGTGGAGCTCAAGCTTAAGCTCCCCCTCGTTGGAGCTCAGCTCTCCTCAAATGGCTCTGCAGCGAGCACCACTTGACTTCTGTCAGCTAAGAACAGGAAACTGAGGCTACAATTCGTACAGGCTAACCAAAATTGGACAATAGCGAATTGGAAAAACGTTGTATGGTCTGATGAGTCTCGATCTCTGCTGTGACATGGAATGCTTTAATGTTAACGCATTTCTCACTCAAAATTAGTCAAAATGGTAACACATTTTATTAAGGTATTGCAAATCTCTCACATTTATTCATTCATCCAAACACGGTTTACATAAAGTCATTCCAGCATATTTAAATAAAATGTATTGTCTTAAACTACACAGAAGAATAAATATATAAAGAAAAATAGTTCTACATTAATACAAGCGTCCTCAGTTTCAAGTATCATACTGTTTCTCATTCATCAGTCAAATATACAGTAGACTATGATCAGGATGGAGATTAAAACTTGTGTGCTAATTCCATAACAGCGATGGTTGTGCTCTGGCCAAAGATAAAAGCTCCAATTACGATAGTCACCACACCCCATCCTGTCAAGAGGATTCTGAAAGAAAACAAAAGTCTGAAAGTGTGAAACGTTGTAATAAAATGTTGTAAAAAATATATATATATACATGAAGAGTTTAGATGCAAAAACCTCTAAGTGCCATCTGGAATTTTCATTCAAAATTTGCATTTTTCTCAGGTTGTTATGCGTAGTTTCAGTAATTTTACTCTTAGTTTAAAGAATAGGTGATTTTCACTGCCTTTAAAGTAAAACAGCTGAACATAAACATAAGAGGCTGAGAAAAACTTTCAAACAGCACTTATAGGGGTTTTCAACTGAACTCTTTTATATTTATATATAGACCAGATGAAACAGCCAGTGAAGTTAAGTTAAAATTACATGATTAAACATGATTAAACCAAGATAAGAAGTTACACACCTTATCCTGTGATTTATAGGCTCTGTCTGCATGACAAAAATGAGACACAACCCTGTAAATAGAAAGATTGGTCAAAGACACCATCTCATGATATTAAAATAAGATATACCAAAGGCATTCCATGTGACCAGAATTGAAAAGTTATTTTCAGGGGGCAGGAAAACTTATGGTATTTCATAAAAGATTATGAGGCCAAATTACTTTTTACAAAATAATGAAGTGAACATTTATAAGAAGCACTACTATATGCATATAAAAATAAGAAGAGTACATTTTGATTTAATTCCGAATTTAAGAAAACATGCAAATAACTAACAAATTGAGAAAACATCTCAAGTTTTTCAGTTACAAAAGAGGATATTTTGTAGAAAGTTGAAAGCCAGTTACCTTTGACATCCATAGTATTTCTTTCTACAATGAAAATCTATAGTTACATGTTTCCAACATTCTTCAAAACATATTCTTTTATGTTCAACAGAAAAGAGAAGCTCATAAACGTATAAGGGAAAGTGGTGAGTAAAATAAAATTGTGTAAACCATCCCTCTTAGTCTTCCTGACCCCAATGCTTTTGAACGGCACTCTATGTGTGCACACGTGTGTGTTGGGGACATATATTTCTATTGAGTGTCTCACCAGGAAAGATGAAGATGAAGAAGGCACTGATTCCCCCAATTACGCTGATGACTTCACTCATGTCTGGCACAAATATAGCGATGAGGAGAGTCACGGTGATCCAGAGAATAGTGAGAATGAGACGGCACCGACCCTCAAACACAGGTGTCATTATGGTCCGTCGTTCCCAAAAGCGCAGTATTTGTGTTAGAATCACTGACCTGTAAACGAGACACAGTCATTGGCACATGAGTGTGTGTACATAGTGTGTGTACATGCAGTGAGTAAGGCACATATTTGTGGTTTACAGTACCTTCCCAACAGCAGTATTATAGGATAGATGGTGACGATCGAAATTCCAAACAGCAGCCTAGCAATAATCATCACTACATCATTTCCTGGATATGACATCAGGATATCTGAGGCTACTTTCCGTCCAAATGTAAGAAAACCAAACACACCTGCCATTTTGCAACAAAATGTCAGTCTTGTTAACACTTGTTAGGTAATATTTACATGTGACCCTGGAGCACAAAACTAATCTTGTGTTGCCCCAGTATATATTTGGCAAAGATCATGTTCCATCAAGACATTTTGTAAAACCATAAATATATCAAAACTCCCTTTTTATTAGTAATGTGCTTTGCTGAGCATTTCGTTTAGAAAACTTTAAAAGCAATTTACTCAATATTTCCAATTTGTGACAGATTTTTAAATAGCCAAATATCGTCCTATTCTATCAAACCATACATCAGTGGAAGCTCAATTATTCAGCTTTCAGGTGTATAAATCTCAGTTTTAATCAATACATTTGTCAACCTAGTTCTTTCAATAATTTTAAATAGTAAATTTGACAATGGCAAGTAAGCGGAACTATTTTAGTATCACCAATGAAGCATTGCAGTTAATTAAGGGTATCACTTTATTGTGATGGTCCCTTTAAAGCATTTTGTTAAATTTAAGTTACATTGCATTCACACACCAACTAATTCTCAATGGATATTTATAGATAGATAGATAGATAGATAGATAGATAGATAGATAGATAGATAGATAGATAGATAGATAGATAGATAGATAGATAGATAGATAGATAGATAGATAGATAGATAGATAGATAGATAGATAGATAGATAGATAGATAGATAGATAGATAGATAGATAGATAGATAGATAGATAGATAGATAGATAGATAGATAGATAGATAGATTATAAGTCGACTGCTTGGGGTTAGGGTTAATGTAAGTTGACATGTACATGCAAAGTTTATTATAGTCAGTTAAATGTTAAAGGAGCAGTATCAAAATATATTAAGCAGAAAGTCTATATATACTCAAATGAGAAGTAATTGGCATGTAGTTGCAATCCAATTTTTAGTCAAAATGTGCAATAGGGACCATCAAAATAAAATGTGCCTAATTAATAGCTTAAATGTGATATTACTGTTTGTATGTCTATAGTTGAAATTATCATTTTTAGGTTTACTTACAAATGAGAAATGCCAAAAACTTTCATTTCAAGAGGTCACATTTAGCTGATGATTGATTGTAAGCAAGTTTGGCATGCTGTCCCGGGAGAGAGCCCTGAGCTTAAAAGGTCCTTGAGCTCTGGGCTCCCTCTTGTTTGCAGGGTGAGAGGGGAGCTCTGAGCTCAGGTAGGTCTCGTGAACCCCCTTTTATTTTTGATAAGAGCTGATGACAGAAAATGATTGCCATGAAGAGATATGCTGCTGGATGAGAGTTTGACTGTAGTGCTAAATTTAACTTAATCAATTCACTTGTAGTGCATGTTTTTGGAACGTGGGAGGAAACCGACAAGCTAGGAGAAGAACAGGCTAACTTCGCTAAAAAACAACAGCCAGCCTGTTGGACTAGACTAGACTGGACTGGAACCGGTGACGTTCTTCCTGTGAGACAACAGTGTTACTCACTAATCCACCGTGCCACCCTATGAAGGGAAAGGTAGAGGAGAAGGATGACTAGTGAGAAACCATGGCTCTGTATAGTGGGTTCAGAATCCTCTGATTGGGGTTAATGCAGAACCAGCTGTGTTTAATCATAAGTCACGTGATCCTCTCGAAATTAGTTTGTAAATAAACTTCACTAAGATAACTGTTTACTTATGTTCGTTTTTCTTTGACAAAATTTATATTTAATATACTAATATATTTGATTTCATGGTTTTAGTTTAGTTTCCTTCGGCTTATTCCCTTTATTCATCAGGGGTCGCCACAATAGAATGAACCACCAACTTATCCAGCATATGTTTTACACAGCGGATGTCCTTCCAGCTGCAACCCATCACTGGGAAAATATAATATAATATAATATAATATAATATAATATAATATAATATAATATAATATAATATAATATAATATAATATATTAAATGACATGCTCAATTAAATATATAATTTTAAAGTAGAAAAAAATTAACTAGTATTTTTTAGTCAAATGAATCTACTGCATTAATAATAACATTGTAACAATAATAAAAGGGATAACTATGGGCTTTAAGAGTGGATGTGAAAGAGGATAATGATCTGACTCACCTGTGAGAGTATAAATAAGCAGGCAGAAAATCATAGAAGTGACTGAGATGAAAACCCAATGTGTGATCTTTTTGTTTTCCATGCTGCTGTATATAGCAATGGAAGCTTCGTGGCACTGTAATACGAATAAAGATAGCAGAACATCAACATGGTCAAACATAGAAAGTGCTCTAAAGTAAAATGTCAACGTTTTTCTTTTTTACAGAATCTAACCTGGAAACCGAAGCAGATGGTAGGAACCACACTGAACATGGAAGCCCATGAGCCCAATCTGTCACAGACACAAGAACACAAAATCAACCACAGATATAAAACTCCTGGACAACTTTACATCACACATACGCAAAACTCACCCTTGACTGTGCTCAGGTGTGAGGTCCGCTGTGTGTGTGTCTTTTAGGTAATATTTCGCAATGACAGCAACACTCAGGTAAGTCGCAGCCAGAGTTCCCATTACACTGATGAATGAACACAAAGAAATATTCAGAGAACAGACATAATGATACAGCAGCAGAAATAACATGGCATAGCCTCTAACACACCTGGTGTATTTCTGGATGCCGATCTCTTTGGGTATGGAGAGTGGAAGGATGATAATAAGACACATGAAAGAGAGGGCAAACCGGTAATCTGTGTACCAGTGATGTGGCATCTCTGCTTCGGTATTTCCAGTCACCGTCTCGTACAGAGACAGACACACTGAAACACACACAGCAGAAAATCTCTTTTAGTCATGCATAGTACATATACACACATTTATCTGGTACCCTTGCTCACAGTGAAACATAATGGCTCATATTAGAGATGTAACAATATGAAGGTTTCTTTTCACGATTATAGTGACCAAAATGATCACGACTGTTGATATTATGTGAATATTTTGTTAAAATGACCTGAAAATGTTCAGAAAATAAATCATTCATCAATTTTTGTATCTGAGAAACAAAAAATGTGCAGCTTCATGCCATTTTGTAACAAACAACATAAGCATATGTTTGCATTTCATATACATTGTGTTGTTGTTTTTATAGGCACATTTGATTTTCTTACTCAAGGTATTGTTTGGTAAACCTTCACTTGGAAAACTACCCCAGCATGCACAGGACACCAACATGACGTCAGATTGATACCCCAACGTTATGGGATGCTGCATTTTGTTTGGAGATGAAAATCGGGTTAACATCAGAACCCACGCAATCTAAAAACAACAAAATATCAACGTCTAATGATGTTACAGCTTGACGTTGTGTGGATGTTATCAATATGATGTCTATCAGAGAGATTTTGGTTGCCATAACTGACAAATAAATGTCAGAATTTGACGTCAATATGACGTTGGTTTAAGATGTCGGCTTGACGCTGAATTTTGTTCATTATCGAACACAAACTAAATTCAACCAAATATTAACCCCATTTCACGTTGTTATTGGACATCAAAATAACGTTGTCCTTAGAGGATGGCGACCTGAATCTAATCTAATATTAATAACACCTTATAATGTTGTGTGTCTGCTAGGACCTCTTAGGAATTCATGTTACCGTTGTTTTTCACAAAATTGCATAAAAGCTGCTTAATAAAAGACAAAAAGTGTTGTGCGGTTTGATGTACAAAATCTTTGATATTGTGACTTGATTTGGGATTAAATTTGGTTAATTTAAGCTTCAGCTCAGTATTCTCAAAAGTGTGCCGCACACGCTTCAAATCAAAGAAATACAACATTAATAACATTCATTCATTCATTTTCTTTTCGGCTTAGTCCCTTTATTAATCCGGGGTCACCACAGCGGAATGAACCTCCAACTTATCCAGCATGTTTTTTACGCAGAGTATGCCCTTCCAGCCGCAACCCATCTCTGGGAAACATCCACACACACATTCACACACACCCATACACTACGGACAATTTAGCTTACCCAATTCACCTGTACTGCATGTCTTTGGACTGTGGGGGAAACAGGAGCACCCATAGGAAACCCGGGGAGACACGCAAACTCCACACAGACATGACCTAGCCGAGACTCGAACCAGTGACCTTCTTGCTGTGAGACGACAGCACTACCTACTGCGCCACTGCATCGCCGAACATTAATAACAATTACCTACAATTAACATGTTAAATCACACCCACATGACCGATAATAACTTTTCCCCAACACACATAATAATTATAAAAAAATCTTTAGATTTAATTACAATTATAATATGGGAATGTTTAGGATGCCATGATGGACAGAGGCCAGTGGGCAGTTTGGCCAGGGTTAAACCCCTACTCTTTTTGAAGGACATCCTGAGATTTTTAACCACCAAATATATTGGACAACATATAAACACAGTACAAGCTACAAATATACACCCGTTAAAGAAAGAGTAAGGAAAGCGAAAGAATTGGATTGCGAATAGGAAGAACAAATTGAAATAATTACTGATAGATAATGGGGTCAACTTTCCATTAGGATATAGTAGCCCCTGTGTATTCAATGTAGGAATCAATATTTATTTATTAACTGTCAATATAAAGATGCATTATGCTGCAGCCTTTTGTAATTAGCCGATCAATATGTTTAAAATTGTGATAATCAATCATGGTTTTAATGATAATGGCAATTTGATATGGTAATTCTAACCATCAAAAAATGTACCCTGGTTTACCTTGAAACAGGTAATCTTGAATATCCTTGCTCATATTAAATCATACAAAATGCACACAACTTACACTTTTCTAGTTGATCCTGCACCACCACCAAAAAGGCCACCGAGATCATGAAGAGGTTGAAAACAAAGCAGATCTCACACAGATGACCGATCCTCCGCCCACACACATTCCGCACCACATCATGATACGTGTTCTGGCGACTGATCGATGAGGCATAACCAAGAATGACCAGCCCACTTATGAGGAACACCAGACTCACCTGAGAAAGAAAGAAAGATGTTAAACTGCTAGAATTTGTTTAGTTGCATCCACATTAGCACTGTTATGTGAGGCTTTACAAAGTTTGTTTCTTTGCAAAGGGGTTGCATGCACATTAAAAATTACTGACCACCTTTGATTTCATTAGTGCAAGGTTGTGAATAACAGCATTGCATTCTCACTCTAATGAGAAAGATGCAGGATCTAATGAGGTGACAGGAGACATACTATATATTAGAAATATATAAGAACATCTCAATAGATGGTTGATTGATTGAGAAATTACACAAATGCTTGTATTGTATTTATACAATACAAATAAACAGTATATGGATTCAGATAAGTTAACAGATAAGATAAAAATACAGTTAAGTTAGTTAACATCTATGACAGATGGTATAACATCAAGCAAAATTAAAACGAGCAATCAACATTCAGACTTTGGCTGCATCTAGAAGAATATATATATATATATATATGTATATATATATATATATATATATATATATATATATATATATATATATATATATATATTTACATACATACATACATATATATATATATATATATATATATATATATATATATATATATATATATATATATATATATATATAAAAGAAATTTTGTAGTTAAACCCAAGTAACCACACATTATGATTTTGCTACACTAATAATAGTTTTACCTGGCAGTTTGAAGCAAGCTGTGGTCATACAAATGGTAGGCTAATCAATACTCAAAATGTCTGCTACAATTTACAGTAATAAAGCTATAGTTTATTTTCAGTAAGGGTGGCCCCAGATTGATACTTTTTTGTTATTGTATCCAGCCAGCACATGACCACATAAGAAGTTGTTACAATTTTGCAACAATGTTGACACAATGTTTAATGTTGGATGGTTTAAAAACAGCATGTGCATGACCAACTTTCATCACCGAAAAAAAAGATTAAAAATGTCAGTTGTTGTTTCAACATTGAAACAATGTTTAAATAGCGTTATGTGATAAATGGTTAAAGGGTTAACAGAAACATTCATAAAAACGACGTTGACATTTCTTCTAGATCTGCAAACTCCAAAACAACTCAGACAACAAACATAAGTCGATTATTTGTATTTGCTTATACCTGCAAGGGTTAATGCCAGCCACCAATCAAATGTCAACCTCGAATGGATTATAAGGTTTACACCTGTGCACGTGCCCTACTTTAAAAATGAGTAATCTACACGTGTCAACACGCACCATCTCCACGCTGATCGCAGTGTTCACGCCGCCAGCCTTCTCAAAAGCCCACGGAAAGTTGAGCAGTCCCGCTCCGAGGGCAGATTTAAGCATGATGAAAATGGCCCCAAATGAGCCGAGTCGTGGGACGTCCGAACCCCGCGCAGGTTTTGAGAGCAGGCTGATGCTGCGTATACTCTCCCGGGCCAGTTCCTCCATCCTCAGCGCCTCAAGACCTAAAAAATGTGATTAAAATATACTTAATGGAAAAGTATTACGATTCTAAAGTCCCGCTGTGTTCTTGGACGAAACCAATGTGAGAACCTTCTGGCAATAACGGAACTCTTCAGGCCTGTGTCATACGCATCAGCACTTGTCTGGTATAAAACACTGTTCTGAATCGTATAGCAGGATTGTCTCAAGTAAGATCCCTTAAAATGTCATCGCAAGGTGTGAAATATTGTACAGACTTGCTAGCGCTTGTAACGGTTGGTTCCGAGTCAGAATGATTGCTTCTCTGAAGTTGCATGTTAGGAGGAATTGTCTTGATTTGACAGAGGAGCGGCTGCTTCTGTGGCGAATTTGTCTAGAACTGCAGGAATTCACGGCAGGACGGGGATATTTTTGTAAGGACGTGAAACGCTGTGGCTGAATTTAATTAGTTTTACGACCCTCTTCGAACCCTTTGAGCAAACTCTCGTTTGAAGAGCTCACTCGAGGCACGTGTCTCTCTCGATTACTGAAGTTGTTTGTGAATTTTCAGCTTGCTTTTTTATGGCATTTCTCAAATTTTAGAGTACGGATAAATAGAACTTTTATCACTTAATTCATACAATATGCATACAGTTTGCATTATAAACTAATATTAATTTAGGAATATGAAGTCTTAAAAAATAGATGGAAGGGTCAATAATTTGGCCTTCTCAACTCTTAGACCCTTTAGCCTATACTGAACTTTTAAGTACTTGCTGTAATGTTAAACCATGCTTGATTCATTCATTCATTTTCTTGTCAGCTTAGTCGCTTTATTAGTCTGGAGTCGCCACAGTGGAGTGAACCGCCAACTTATCCAGCAGGTTTTTACGCAGCGGATGCCCTTCCAGCCGCAACCCATCTCTGGGAAAACCATGCTTTATGATGCTGTGCAATATTTATACAATCTATTTTATTAAATGTATTGGTATTGGTGGCGGATGTGGTGTTGTCGCGAACTGAAGAGCGTAGTGGTGGACATTGGGGGACATTGTTTCACAGTAATGGGTTGCAGCTAGAAGGACATCCGCTGCATAAAACATACACTGAATAAGTTGGCAGTTCATTCCACTGTGGCGACCCCGGAATAATGAAGTGACTTGGCCTTTTTGCGCTGTGGCAACCCTGAATTGATATAGGGACTAAGCCAAAAAGAAAACACACATATGGGGGTGCTTGGGGTGTTTTTTGTTGCCAGTTTGATTGGGCCCCCAAATAGTAACTCTGGGGGTCCAAAAAGAGTGCATCTTCCCTGCATAGTTCTTAATCGTTCTAACCTTTTCCCCCTGGCGACGCCCCTGCATATAGCCAAGTTTCATGAGTTTCACTCATTGTGATTAAGTATTTTTATAAGATCCAGCTAGAGAGGCCCATGGACTGTACAATTGTAATTAGCCTAAACCTACAGTGCTCAGCTTATATAAGTACACCCCTCACAAATCTCTCTTTTAAATTCATATTTGTAATAGGAAGCTGTACAATATTATATTTGTGCATATACAATAGATTAGTCAGTTCTGAAGCCTATCCAACAAAATAACAAATTTTTTATGATACAGAAAAATATTAAATACAAATTTTAAAAAGAGGAAAAATCAAGAGAAGCAAAAAATAAATAAATTTTGTTGAAATTGTGTAGGTTGTAATTTAATTTTTTAATGTTTCACTTGAATTTAATTGTATAATATTTTAACTTCTAAATATGTTTTGTGACTAATATATTATTTTAATACATATTTCTGTTTATTAAATCTGTTTTGTTTAAAAGCACCAGGATTCATTGCCTATATTCACTGAGAAATGGATAAAATTACAAATTTTCAAATTGGGCTGTACTCAATTATGCTGAGCACTGTATATACTCAACTGCCACTCAAAAATTAAACGAGCTATTTACATACAGTAGAAAACTCAATGCATTTAGTCATGCCGACTTTGAGGGAAAGGGATGTGATGCATTGTTGATGGCAGAAGTCAGAGGACATTTACCTGTTTTGAGCTGAAAGGCAACAGTCAAATAACTCTCTTCAGGCAAGATATGCAGACCATCTCTGAATGAATACACAACATGTCAAACCTTGAAGCAGATGAGCTACAGCAGCAGAAGAGAACATGATGCTACTCCTGTCAGCAAAACAGCAAACTTAACCTAACACTAACATGGTTTACCGAAATTGGACAAAGGAAGCTTGAAAAACTGATTAGGTGAGTCTTGATTTCTGCTACAACTTTTGTGGAGTCAGATTTTTGATCTAAACAACATTAATGCATGGATCCATCCTGTCTCGCATCTTCAGTTTAGCCAGCTAGTAGTGTAATGGTGTGTGTGTGTGTGTGTGTGTGTGTGTGTGTGTGTGTGTGTGTGTGTTTGTTAATTTGTGCTGCTATGTTGCTTCTATATGCTGTATCGTGTAACTGCTATCATTTTGATTCTGTATTGGGCAAATGTCTTCTGTCCAACTTAATTATCTGTCTTGACTGTCTGACAATGGGAAATGACTGTTCGTTGTGTTGCTGCTATTGTAAAATGTCCACATTATTTCAACAGTTGGTATTTACATTATTAATGGTGTGAAGGATGTTTCTCTGCATACTTCAGGCCTATCAAAAGTAATAATACAAACAGCACCGTGTATTGAGCTATGGTTGCAGACTGCAAGTCACATCAGTGTTCGACTATCTACACTGCAGCAAAATAGTAATATCCAACGTGTTGAAAAATGGCTAAACTAGGTCTACATTACGTCTGTCAAATGAACTATTTCATTCCTGACTTTAAAACATGCACATCACATCTAACAAAGCATAATGTCTTTGCCACAGCACATTTGCCACGTTATCCCTATCCGGCAGAGGGCAGCAGCGCGCAAACAGCATTTGATTGCAGCATCCCGAAGCATTTGATTCCTCGAGGAAGACTGAGTAGTTTCACCGCTGCAAAGTAAGCTATGCTCTCGTAAACACGTGGGTTTATTAAAAATGCCGGTTGACACAAAACGTATTCGTGGACCGGAAGAGTCGCAGTCCCCGTTGCTCTTTCTGTCCCCGGACAAAGCCCCTAAAGCCCCCAGCAGCAGGCAGGGCGTCCGCGGGAACGGAGATGTGCGGCCGGTGTTTGCGCGCTGCGGGCTAGTCAGCCAGGCGAAAGGCTCCGCGTACATCGAGGCTGGAAACACCAAGATCATCTGCTCGGTGTACGGGCCGAAGGAAACGGAACGAAGGGACGAAACGGACATGAAAACCGGTCGGCTGGTTTGCGACTTCAGGCTCGCGCCGTTTTCCTGCGTGAAACGGGGAGCCTGGATCCAGGGCAGCGAGGAGAGAGACCTGTCCGCCACTCTGATGGAGAGCTTGCGGCCGGGAGTTTGCCTACACAGATACCCGCGCTCTCAGATTGACGTGAATGTCATGGTTTTGGAGAATGACGGCTCGGTTCTGGCGCACGCGGTGACCTGCGCTTCGATGGCCCTGGCGGACGCCGGTATCGAGATGTACGACATTGTTTTGGGTTGCACGCTGCGGCAGAGCGGAAACGCGTGTCTCGTTGACCCGTCATACGCCGAGGAGTGCGGGAGCTGGCAGGAGGGCTACGGAGACAACCAGGGGTGCGTCACCTTGGCTCTGCTTCCCAATCTGAATCAGGTGTCTGGCCTGAATGCGGACGGGGAGATGCGGGAGGACACTCTGACCGAGGCTATGAGAACCTGCATGGACGGCTGTCATAAACTCTACCCGGTGGTTCAACAAGCGCTGACGCGGGCTGTCAAGAAGAAAGCGCCTCCGCCTGAGAAATAGACTTTTGTTTGGCGCTTCTTTTTGAGAACAGTTAAAATGATTACAATTGTTGAAATTTTGTACATTTAAATGTGTAATAATGTCGAACCAACTAAATAAACTCCTCTGCAGTTTTATCTCCTCTATGATCTTGTATTTGTTCATTTCAGTGGTGTTGCTGATTTTGTATTCAGATTATTTCCCCCTAAACGAAAATCTCCTGTCGCACCCTCAATGCCATCCATGGTGTAGATCAGGGGTGCCCAAACTTTTTCTTATGAGGGGCCAAAAAAGTTGATTATAGGTGGTGAGCTGAAGTTAAATAAACCAAAGTATTACATTACAGTTGCCATGGTAATTACCTTATTTATTAATATTTAAAATAAATTGAAAGAATACTGAAATCATTAATAATTATATCTTTTTTGCATTTTATAATGAACATCTTACAATAAAAAAACAATCCTCTTTATAACAATAATGTTCACTGCTGAATATATTCAGGACACTTGATTTGCTCATCAAGGACTCTTACTTTTTTTTTTTTTAAATGTGATTCATGCACAACATTTAAGTGAAACTTTTAATTTCAGTTGCTTTTTTTGCAACCCAACAATTAAATGAACAAACAAAAGGTTACATTAAAATTAGAAATGACAAGCGCGCGGCATGGCACCAACCTTTTCATCATTCTCCCTCACTTCTCAGATAGGATGGCAGGCCGTAGTTTGGGCATCTCTGGTCTAGATGGCTTTTTCCTTTAGTAGAATATTTAAGATATTTAGATGAAGCCATTGCCCATGGTCAGTCGTAAAATGCAAGTCAGTAGCTTGCAGCACTTTCATAGTCTGAAAAACACAGGCAAAACAAGTTAATACCCGTGGTTCTTTGGGTTTCTATGAAATGAATCAACTGTTCTGTGCTAGAAAGTAAATGTTATAAGAATATTACCTTAATCTCTGCAAGATGCACAGACTCTGTGTTGGTGGCCGTGACTAGAACTATTATTTGAATCACCATAGGACATCTTTAATTAAGTAGACACCTACTTCTTGGATAACCCAAGTATGAGCAACCAGCACTTTTTTTATTTATGAGGTAACTGCCCCTTTAAACAGGGTTACCACGCTTCCTAAAAGTACTTGAATTTCAGACAAATAAATTCAAAACAGAACAAAACACTGAGAAATTTAAATTCTTTCATTTCAATATTGCACAATAAAACTGACAAATTAATGCACATTCAAGTTTTTTTCAACATCCAAATCAAATCACTTTTATTGTCACATAATGATTTGATTTGTTAAAAAAAAACATGACTGTTAAAAACGATTCATTTTTGAAAATTACTACATTTAAGCATAAATATCTAACAACAAGTCTAAGTGAAATACTAAGTACAGTTGGTGTATGATTTACAACAGCGATTTATTTAAAATTAATGGTGCTTTAAAAAGTACTTTAAAGTCTTTGAATTTGCTGTTTGTGGAAGTGTGGGAATCCTGTTTAAAGAACTGAAAATGAATCAGTAATAAAAAAAAAAAGGTTTAGATGTTACTATCGGTATGTTAGTCTTAATGATATCTGTAATCTAGTGTGCTCCAAAACAGTGACAAATTTGGCAATTAGAAAAAAACAAACAACCAAAAACGAACCTAAATGGATAAACATTTTTTTGACGTCACTTCAAACTCCAGTGTCTAATCGAGAGGGGTCTGGCTGCAGACCTGGTGCAGTGCAATCTGGGCTGCATCCAATGCTTATTAATGGGCTTACCTAACCCCACCCGTCACAGTGACTTCACTAGCTTCATTTGATTGCATTGTGTCTGAAATTGCATCGCTGAGTGATGCAGTCTCAGCTTGCATCATAAAGGCTGCATCCAGATACTGTTGGTCTAATCAAATCTTCTGACCAATCAAATGCTCTCTTGTATCTGACAAGGTCAGGAGCTACTCTATTTCCCACCTTGTCTTCATGGTTCAGTTAAAATGACATCACACAGCAAACAAAAACAGGACCTTCGAAGTTCACAATATGAAGGCATTTTAATTCTTACTGGACAAAAGTTTTTTGTTACAAACAGATGTTTGATGAAATCCCTGATTGACTCACATAAGTGTGATAGTCGAAACAGTGCCCTGAATTCTGATTGTTATGATCTGCAATTAAAATAAATGAAAAGGGCCTGGGTAAAACAGTACAAATACATATAAATTAATAAAAAATCTGGCACTTTTGGAATCTTAATATTCTCATTTTAAAGTGCTTGAGTTTCTGACTATTTTGGCAAACAAATTACAATACCACACTTATTGAAAAACCCAATTCACACAGTGCAGAGAAACGCACAAGATGAACAGATTACAACACGTCACTTCTCAGACATTACATCACCAGACCAACAATTCAGCATTTTTAACTGGCTCCGACTAGGCATGGGCTGGTGTAAGTTTCAGACGGTGTGATAACTTTGAATAAAAATATCACGGTATTGTGATTACTGCTCTAAAATAAGTTCTTTATAGATGTCTTAGCAAAAAAAACACACAACTTTTATCCCCTTTGAACACAATACGTTTCATTTTAATAAACACTTATAATATTTTGGAACAATAAACATGCCAAGCTAAATAATAGATAATAAATAATTGACTTCTGCTCTCTTCATTTGTTTTAAAACACAGATTTCTTTACAATACATGAAAAAAAAACACTTTAAAAAAACCTAACATATACCTTAGGAACGGCATATCATAATTTGTTTGCGGTTTTAATACCTTGACTTTTCCAAACCGCGGTAAACCTTGAAACCAGTTCTCGTCCCATGCCTAGCTCTGACAGACAGCAACAGGGGAAACAAACTCATCTGGCCAAACCGATCAAAATGTCTGTTGCTGGCTGTCAGTGCAGTGAATGAATTGGGCTTTTAAATAACACAATAACAACTAAAACTGTTACACATTCTGTATGTAATGAATCAGACCTGTTATGATATTGTGCTCAAGCAAATCATAGTGCAAACCTGAGCAGATAGTGGTGAATGAGACTGACATGTCAAATGATGATGCGTACATTACTATGCAATACATGAGTGCTTGTTTGTGTGGCAGCATGCAGGGGTAATAAACATATATGAATGAGAATGTGTGTCTGATCCCTGCACTGTACAGTGTGGGGGTTCTTAGGCCTGTTTCAGTACAATGTTTGTAATTTCTGAACGGCTTGCGATTCTCATTGGAATGCCATAATAACCGGTTCCAGGGGTCACGTAGACCATAGTGTGTTCAGAGACACGGTAGAGTCCGCAGAAAAATGGATTCATTAGGAATGCCAGGATGGTGAGGGGGAACAGCTGACCAGCGTGTGTGTGACCTACACAAAAGACAAAATTACATTCAGTAGATTTAGGGTGTGAACACACTTGGCGGGTTTAATTTGATAAAAAAAGCATCCTCTGGCGGGATTGCTCTGTTAGTGTGGTTCATTTGTGAATGTTGCCATCCAAACCCTAGTGTCCACTGCCCACCAAACATGCAAGACCCCTAAAACTAGAACTACCCATGCAGTCATTTAGACCATTTTTAACTCTAGCAATTTATTAGCTTAAAATGAAATCCATATAGTATAGTACCCTGACTTTACTAAATGTGTGTATATTTCCTTAAAACATTAGAGCATTAAAATGACAAAACACAAAATGAGCATATTATATATACCTTGAAACAAACAAATTAACCACATTCATTTCTGGTAAAGTCTAGATGTAGATACTCATCATTCATTCGTTCATTTTCTTTTTGGCTTAGTCCATTTATTAATCAGGGGTCGCCACAGCAGAATGAACCGCCAACTTTTCCAGCAAATTTTTACGCAACGGATGCCCTTCCAGCTGCAACCCATCACTGGGAAACACCCATACACTCCTGCATTCACACTCATACACTACAGACAATTTAGCTTAACCAATTCACCTATAGCGCATGTCTTTGGACTTGTGGGGGTAACCGGAGCAGCCAGAGGAAACCCACGTGAATACAGGGAGAACATGCAAACTCCACACAGAAATGCCAACTGATCCTGCCAAGGCTTGAACCAGACCTTATTGCGGTTAGGCAACAGCGCCACCCATATTCACATCAATACAACATAATTTTTGTGACACTGTACAACAATAATTAATATTTTTACATGACTGTGAGGGCTGGGGTAGAGGTAGACATTAATAAAATACAATTCAATCTGTAGTTTAATAAATAATATTAATAATTTTACTAAGTACTGCTTTTACATTACTGTGAGGGCGGGGGTAGAGGTAGAAATTAAAATAAAATTAATGGGTAATTTAATAAATAATATAAATAATTCTTGTTAACTTCCGGCCGCAGCTATATCCCTTAGTGGCAACAACCTGTATTTCTGCATCCACTACCTTTTCCTGTGCCTTTGAATATGTGTGCCTCTGTTGCCTAGCAAAACAAAAACATACCTTTCTGATAGCAAAACATAACTTTTCTTAAAAAGTTAAAAATCGGTCTTTCAAACTTTCAAAAACACTTTTTTACTGCAATAAAAAAATACATTTGCTCTTCCACTTGCTAGACAAAGTGAGCTGTGCTTCTTCGGGGACAGTCTAATAACTCATACACAATTACAGGCTATGTAGTACAAAACACATTGTATTTTCAGGGTACTGACTCCATATAATATGACGACAGACATTTAAAGTTTAAATCTAAAATCTAAGTAAAAGCTCCAAATGTAAACATGACCTGGCAAAAATACAATTCTGTAATAAGTCTTATATAAATTGTCACAATGGCTGCTATGGCTATTCTAATAGTAACAGTGCATGCGGAAAGTATTCATAGCGCTTCACTTTTTCCACATTTTTTTATGTTACAGCCTTATTCCAAAATGGATTGAATTCATTTATTTCCTTAAAATTCTACACACACAAAAATATTTTTTTAAATTGTTGCAAAATTATTAAAAATAAAAAACCTGAAAAATCACATGTACATCAGTATTCACAGCATTTGCCGTGAAGTTCTAAATTAAGCTCAGGTACATTCTGTTTCCACTGATCATTCTGGAGATGTTAATTGGGGTAACATCTCAGCAGCTTAATTGGAGTTCACCTGTGGTAAATTCAGTTGTTTGGAAATGATTTGAAAAGACATGCACCTGTCTATATAAGGTTCCAGGTTTGACAGTGCATGTCAAAGCACAAACCAAGCATGTAGACAAAGGAATTGTCTGTGGACCTCCGAGACAGAATTGTCTCGAGGCACATGGCTGGGGAAGGTTACAGAAAAATTTCTGCTGCTCTGAAAGTTCCAATGAGCACAGCTTATCATCCATGAGTTGAAGATGTTTAGAACCACCAGGACTCTTCCTAGAGCTGGCCGACCATCTAAGCTAGATGATCGGGGAGAAGGGCCTTAATCAGGGAGGTGATCATCAATAACCTGATGGTCACTCTGTCTGAGCTCCAGCGTTCTCCTGTGGAGAGAGGACAACTTTGCAGAAGGACAACCATCTGTCCTTGAGTGGCCCAGTCAGAGCCCAGACCTAAATCCTATTGAATATCTCTGGAGAGATCTGAAAATGGCTGTACACAGTCGCTTCCCATCCAACCTGACAGAGCTTGAGAGGTACTGCGAAGAGGAATGGGCAAAAATTCCCAAACACAGGTGTGCCAAGCTTGTGGCATCATATTCATAAAGACTTGAGGCTGTATTTGCTGCCAAATGTGCATCAACAAAGTATTGAGCAAAGACTCAATACTGATGTACATGTGATTTTTCAGATTTTTAATTTTTAATACATTTGCAACAATCCAAAAAAATATTTTTTTCAAATTGTCATTATGGGGAATTGTGTGTAGAATTGAGGAAATAAATGAATTTAATCTGTTTTGGAAAAAGGCTGTAACATAAAAAATGTGGAAAAAGTGAAGTGCTATTAATACAAAAGTGAAGTGCTATTAATATTTTCCGCATGCACTGTATATAGAATTTGGGAAGTTCCCATGTTAAATCAGTGGGTTTCAGTGCACGGTCAAATAAACTTTTTTTGTGGTTTGATTGAAATATGCAGACAAAGGGGACCAGAAACATCTAAACAAACTATTAAAAGGAGATGATGTCACAAGATGCAACCATAAAAAGGACAGAAGACTTTTCAAAAGTTCTTTATCTTAAAGTTCAAAATGACACTGTGAATGCTTTACTAACAAGGATGAAACATTTTATTTTTACTGCAGACCAAAGTAATCAAATGAAATGAACTATGAGTGTGAAGACTCCCTAATGCTTCAGCAATACACTCTTAATATTTCATTTGACAAACAAGAAAAAGCATCCAAAACACCACAATATTTGAATTGATCTTTACTTACCTGAGAGCACCAGGCTGATGTCTGGCCGCTGCTGGAGGGCCTGTTTGGCAGCATGAGGCTGATGTGCAAGAAGAATAATAGGGCTTTCTGTGGTGCAGCCGTTGAGAGCTTTCTCAACATCCATGCCATGGCCTGGGTACCTTTAAGCAAAGCAGCACCATTAACGCAGGCCCAGTGTAAGGCACACAATATGCACCAGATTTGTATGTATTCAAATAAGAGTGCTGATGACATCACCATGGACTTACCGTAGCATGCGGGCCTCGAGGTCATCGATACCAGCAAGGCAAATCCAGTCTTCAGTTCGCTCAGGGCGGAAGACTTTTGCATGGCTGTTGTGAAGAGCCTCGATGCCCATTGAGTGTAAGAGCTCAAACCATCCTTCCACATCAGCAGTGTAGTAGTCGTGATTGCCTGAAAGAAATTAAAATTTGACATTTAGTTAAACCCCGTTGATCATGCAACTATGGCCAGCTGCAATAATATGATACAATTTTTATTTTCAAGCGGGTATGGACTTGAACATTAATATCACCAGAAATTAATTATAATTTTTTTTCTGGAAAATGTCTTATTTGTTTTATTTCGGCTAGAATAAAAGCAGTTTTTAATTTCTTAAAAAAACATTTTTGGGACAAAATTATTAGCCCCTTTAAGCTAATTTTTTTTTGATAGTCTACAGAACAAACCATTGTTATACAATAACTTGCCTAGTTACCATAACCTGCCTAGTTCACCTTATTACCCTAGTTAAGCCTTTAAATTACACTTTAAGCTGTATAGAGTAAAATATTATTTACTGTCATCATGACAAAGATAAAATAAATCAGTTATTAGAAATAGGTTTTTAAAACTTTTATGCTTAGAAATATGCTGAAACAATCTTCCCTCCATTAAACAGAAATTGGGGAAAAAAATAAACAGGGGCGCTAATAATTCAGGGGGGCTAATAATTCTGACTTCAACTGTGTGTGTGTGTGTGTGTGTGTGTGTGTGTGTGTGTGTGTGTGTGTATATATATATATATATATATATATATATATATATATATATATAAGATGATTAAAAATACATAGGCCTACATGAAATATGTTTCACTTAAACAATTAATATATTAACAAAACAAATTTAAAAGAAATCCCAGAGGCAAGTATCTGGATGCCATTTAATTTTTAGCATTTAAGTTCAAAGAAACAGGCAAATGCTTTCTCTCTTTAACAAAGGGACAATGTTTTGTTAGATAAGAGTGAAATACTTACTGTTTTGAATCATGTTTTAATTTCATCAGTATGACTTAAGTCTGTTTTTAAATTACATTTTTAATGAATTAATAGTAGGTTTTTTTTTGCAAACAATATAATTTCAACACCAATAAACCCAGCATAGACCCTGCCTTCACTTCTGTGGGAGGCCATGCAGCTTGTGTCACTGATGGGTATGTCATGGAAATCATTAAAGCATGGATGAAGAAAATTAAAAAATGAATGAATGAATAAATGAATGAATGAATGAATTTATTTATTTATTTATTTATTTATTTATTTATTTATTTATTTATTTATTAATTTTAGCTGAGGTGAGAAACTGCACGTTTTGAAAACCGTTATCTTCTAAATGAGAATTTTGCAATCGGTCTGGATCACATTTATAGCAAACCCTAAAACTAACATATTGATACCAACACCCCCAAAAAACGTATATTTTGATTTCAGGGGGACTTTAAGACTGACCTGTAGCAAAATAGGAGCCCAGTCGAGGCTTCATTTGTCCCAGTGGTTCTGCAGCGCTCCTCAACCGAGACACCTGAGAGTCAGTCAGATCACCGACAATCACCACCACATCTATAGCAACAGAGTTACATTCAACGTCAGGTACATGTTAAAATAATTCATCCAAATATAAAAAAAAAGTCATCATTTGCTCACCTTTATTGTCATTCCAAACCTGTATAACTAATGTTTTATGAAAAAACTAAAAAATATAAAGAGGGATACTGGTTTCCTATGACTTTGGAAAAATAAATGCCACAGCTATATCAGCCTGCGGTTCAAGACTGTTTACTCACTGAAGCTAAGTAGGGCTGAGCCTGGTCAGGGCCTGGATGGGAGACCACATGAGAAAACGAAGTTAATGTTGGAAGTGGTGTAAGTGGTCAAGCTCGATCTGCAGTCTGTGTGAGTCCTAATGGCCCAGTAAAGTGAAGGGGACACAATACTGTAAGTGAGCTATGTCATTTTGGATGAGACATTAAACCGAGGTCCTAACTCTCTGTGGTCATTAAAAATCCCATGGCACTTCTCGTAAAGAGTAGTTGTTGTCCATCAAAGTGTATGCTGCACACTGGTGGTGGTGTGAAGAGAGCGCCCTGATGAAGCGCTTTGGGTGTATGGTCATACATGATAAATGTGCAATTTAAATACACATTACATTACATGACATTAAAAAACTTGAAAATAATAACATTAGCCTAATAGCACTGAAAGCCTACATCCCACTCTGCATCCCTACATCCCGCGTGCAGTTAGACAGCATAACTACAATACATCAGGTAAAATTCACCAGAAAGAAAACTTTATATTCACTAAGTAATCACAATGCCAGTCTTAAAAAGAAGGTAGGTTGTTGACTTTTGCCTGTAGCTACTTCTCGATCTGAACTGTGTCCGTGAACACTCAGATAAAGCAATCCTTTCTGCTTAAACAGGGTGCGCAGAAGTCCGCAGTTACATATTTTGACAGGCAGGTAGGGCAGCCTGTCATAACGTTCAGACTGAACATTTTGATAAGACGAACTTTTCTTGGTTCTACAGCTTCCACAGAATATTAAAAATACCTACATTTGAACGCGGTGGCGAAGTATGTAGTGCTGTCGCCTTACAGCTAGAAGGATGCTGGTTCCAGCCTCAGCTGGGTCAGTTGGCATTTCTGTGTGGAGTTTGCATGTTCTCCCCGTGTTCGCATGGGTTTCCTCCGGGTGCTCCGGTTTCCCCAACAGTCCAAAGACATGCGCTATAGGATAGAATTGAATAAGCTAAATTTTCTGTAGTGTATGAGTGTGATTGAGTGTGTATGGATGTTTCCCAGAGATGGGTTGCAGCTGAAAGGGCATCCGCTGCGTAAAACATGTGCTGGATACTTTAGCGGTTCATTCTGCTGTGGCAACCCCCTATTAAAAATAGGACTAAGCCGAAAAGAAAATGAACGAATGAATGAATACATTTGGACCACTGAATTGCTAGAAGGATGTGAAAATGTTTTGAAGGTAATAACCACTTGATACTTAAAGTTAAAAACATTCTTCTACATGTATTAAAATATATTATACATGAGAAAGTACATGACTTTGGGGAATGACATAAGGCTGAGTAAACGATGACAAAATGTCATCCCTTTAACACATCAAAACACTGATAGTTAAGCCTATAATGAGACATAATTACCTGGGTTGAGCTCATTCACCATAGACACAATGCGCTGCAGTTTGGAGCGGCCCACAGTAGGTCCCAGATGAATATCGGACAGAAGCACCAACCTGAGCCCGTTCAGAGACTCGGGGAGCTTCTCTACTGGGATCTCTACATCAACCACTTTAGGAGGCTGGGCTGCATTTACCAACCCATACACTGCCAGCACTGCAGTTATTATCAAAGCCAACACAGTCTGTCTGAATGATCCGCTCGCGACCGCATCCTCCGCACTTCTGCTGCGGGACAGAAGCTTGCCAAGGCGATTTAGGCAGCCAAAAACAAATAGGAAGAACAGCAGGATGACATAAACACCCAAACAGGAGAAACTCAGCAGCGAGAGCCAGTGTGGCTCGGTATCTACGAGGAAAAACATGCACAGGTAGCTGCCGTGCACGAGCGCGAGGAACAGCAGGACAATAATCCTCCAGCATCTCTGCGGGACGGAAGGCGCAGCTCGGGCTCCGCACAGCCGCTTCACCACGCGCTTCCAGAGGTACAGCGAGCCCAGCAGCAGCAGCGAGTTGATGAACAGCAGAAACTGCACGCGGAACAGCAACGCGCGCGTGCCTTTGTCGACCCGCTCCGAGATTAATGTTCTGGATATAAGCATAGAGAAAAACACGACCCCCGATGCGATTCCGACTTTGCCCTCGGCGGAGAGGCGTCCGAATCCGAACATACTGACCGGCATATGCGCCCCGGTCACTGACCCCGGTACAGTCCACAGCCAATATGCCGCATGCAGCCTTATGGCAGCACGCAATGACTTATGACAACAATAGAGAATTCTTCATACCTTCCGATAATAGTCGGTTACTTGTAAATAATAATAATGCGTTATCCTGTTAAGTGGGACAGCACAAAACTACTTCCGTAGACAAAGGCGTGATGGCCGCTGTGATGACAGCAGTACTGTTCGAGGTTCTCTGGTTAAAAAGCTCATAAAGACACTGCTGGAAACTCAAGCTACAAAATCGTCCACTACACAATTTGTAAACAAATTTGATACATACACGTCAGTCATTTGACAGCCTGGGTCTTCTGCGTGACAAGTGTGTGCGATAAAATCATTGGCTTGTCACGCAGCGGGGGCGTGGCTAAATGTGACGCTCTTAAACCAGGTTGGAGGAATTTGAGCAACGTAACGTCAGACCTGCAACATTTTACTACAATAAAACCTCCATTTCCTGCCATGGTTTGTAATATGGTGAAACCGTTGAGCGTTTGCCATTTTGCTCTGAAATATGATTTGGATACGATGAAAAATACATCTTTCCAACTTTTACTTAGGTAATGTTGGAGTAGGCCTACATTAATAAGATTTTTTACTTTAAATATTAAAAGATTTATTGACAAATACAATTTAGAACATCCGCCTCCTTAATTTCAGCCAGGACCCTATATAAAAAGGGCCTAAAGATTATAAGAAATTCTAGACGGTTTTCACCCAAAAACGAAGCCTCTGTCAACATTTACGCACCCTTTGCATGTTTAAAGGCTTTCGCCTTATTGTTTAACACGAAGATATTTTTAAAAATGGTTATCTATTAATTTCCATAATAATGTATTTTTTAATTCTTTACAGCATTTAAAAGTATCTTATGTTGTGTTCAAAAGAAGAAAGTTTTAAAGGTTTAAAACCACACAAGGAAGAATAAATGGTGAGATCATTCTCTTTTTGGGGGTGAACAATCCCTTTAAGCAAGGCACAGAGGTACAGCTAGTTTGTATTTTTCGTTTTTTCTTTATGTACATGTGTTTCTGTCTGTTTCTCAATTATAGTATGCATTATTGAGTATATTTCATTCTCTAAATCCTTATTGTTTATCTTTTGCTCAGCAATATTCTGTTAATGCACAAAAGGAATAAGAAAAAGTTTCCTTATTCCTTATTATTTTCTTGTTGGTTCTTAAGTATGTAATTCCCTTGTTATAATCCTCTAATTACAGCCTTTTTTTTTGTTTACTTTGCTAAAATTTGAAAGCTGTTTAAAGGATGTTTCTTTACTTGGAGGAAATACTTTATTTATTTATTTAGTGTTTACCGCAACAGCTGCACACATCAGGCTTCTGAAGGGCATTCATGTGAATGTCAAAGGGAACCAGCCAGGGGCTGTCTGCAAACATCCAAACTTTTAAAAATAAAGGTTATGTAGTAATAGCCTTAATATCCTATTACATAGGTCATTACCCTGATTTGCAAGTGTTTGCTGAAATGCTTAGGCACAGTTTTAAGGAATAGCCATGTCAACAAAGGCTTTTTAATATTTTTTCCACATTTTTAAGTGCCTTAAATTGACTTTTGCTGTTTATTCTGATGAATCTTTTACCCAAAGAGCATCGATACATTATTTAAGCTACCCCTGAGCACTTTTTGTTTGATTTTGGACTCTTAATAGTTATTTGTTGACTTGATGGTTCCATGAAGACACTTTAACATCTATGGAAACTTTTTATCCCACAAAATAATGTTATATACTATAAATAATTTTTCACACTATAAATGTTTTTCACACTATAAAAAAGTGTTCTTAGAACTTTTCACCAAAACTTTTCTCTGAGGAACCATTACTTTAAAAACACCCTATTGTAACCTTAATTTTTAAGCTGTAACTGGTCACCATAGAAAAAAAATACAGATTATTTTCCATAGATGCCACACAAAAGGATCATCATATCTAAAAGCTCTTGGCATATAAAGCCTGGTCTATGTAAATTAAAAGCATAATGCGCACCCCTCACTTGCATTTTAACCGTTTGCAATTGTAGGAAATAAAAACAGTTGAAAGTAATGTTTCTACATTTAACCACCTGCTCTACCAAACGTCTGACCATGTTTTGACTGTTTTAAATAATAAGTGTTAAACTCATTTAAAGACCGACTGTTTTAAATAATGGTTTAGGCACAGCATTGTTGGTTTAAAAGAAAATCAAACAAACATAATCCTGCTGCACTACTACACTCGGGGCTGGATTTAACCCATAAGCAAGGGAAGCAGCTGCTTAGGACCCCAGGAAATCTGAGGGTCCCCAAATAAATACCTATAAGTATAAATGATACTAAATTATATATATAACATCATATTTTGTACGGTGAGGGTAAACAATTTTTTTATTTAAATATAATTACTATATCTGCACAAATGTGTAACCCACCTTTAATCATATAGCAGTCTAGCAGTCAAATTAGTAAAGATTTCGTTTTAAAAATGATATAGTTCAATTATTATGTTTAGTTGTGAAGTTAATTTAAGAAAACAAATAGTTTTAAAAGGTGCTTTACAGGTTATTGTTTTGCATAAAGATGAAATGTAGACAATGAAATCAAATGTTGTAAAAAAAAAAAAAAACAGCAAAATAACAAAAAATTTTTACACAAGGTGCTTTTTAGAACTTTCGGGCCTCTTGACCGGTTGCTTAGGACCCCAAAATCACTAAATCTGCCCCTGACTACACTTGATTTTGGTTTTATTGTTAAAACAAAACAAGAAAACGTGTTAAATGAGATTCTGAAGTATTTTATAACATACTTAAAAAAATTAAGATGATTTAGTATTCAAAAATGTTTTTGTTTTTTTTAATATACAATTATTTTTCAGGGGTTTTTACCTTTATTAATAGGACAGTAGAGATTTACAGACAGGAAAGTGTAAGGAGCAGAATTAGGGGAAGGATTGGCAAAGGATCTCGAGCCTAGAATCAAACTCAGGTCACCGCAACCACCTTAGTGCTATGTGTCGACGCACTAACCACTAGGCTATTGGTTCCGATCAAAAATGTTTTTTGATTATGTTTTCAAATGAATTGGCCTTACATTTCATATTTTCTAATTTTTAAATTTTTGTATTAATTCAGGTATAAACGGACATATCTATCATTTGATAGAGGCTGATATTTTAGAAATGTTAAAAATTGCATTAAGTGTTTTAACTTGTGAAATTAGGAGTTAAGAAATACAATTCAAACATTTTATTCTTGGCGGGCAGTTAAAGGGTTAAGAACATAAAACATACATGAAAGCTTACTCTTAAAAATACAGGTTTCTTGATTGGTACATAAAGAAATTTTAGCATCAAAGTAGCATTCGATGCCAGATTTCTTATACTGAAAAAATGTTTTGTTTTCATTCTTTACACTAAGAACTAATATGATTCCTTTAATAATAGCCCACTGAAAGTTTTTAGAGGGGCAAAATAGTTCTTGTATAACGGCATCACTGCAAAAAATAAGATTAAAAAAACCTTAGGGCCTTTGGTGTGGTTTATTCCACAAACGCCTCTTTATATTGGAAAATGTTGTTTTTTTTCAGATTATAATGGTTCTTTAGAAGCGCTCACTGAAAGGTTCTTTGTTCTATGTGAACCCTTATGTGTGCAAGAGAAAGAATTTTCAACCAGCTCTGTTCTTGCGGATCATTTTGTCGTCTCAATCTGTTTTAAAAGTATCACCATGGTGCAAAATACCCCCCCCCCCCCCCCAAAAAATAAATAAATAAATAAATAAATAAATAAATAAAATAAACAAGGATTGATTCCTTAAGGACGCCAGCAAAAGATGTATGGGAATCAGCCCTTTAATAGTGAGAAATAGTTTTCCCTGATCTGTATCTTCAATAATAATATAAATAATTAAAACTGAAAACACTGAAAACTTACATTTGTCATTAAATAAATATGATGTCATTTCAGTAAATCGATACATTTGATTCACTGAAAACTTACCAAAAATTGGACCCCCCTGATCACCAATGCATAAATCGCACCCTGAGTGCCACGCATGAATGAGAAATGCTGTTACAGCTCAAAAAGCACATTCATAAATAATCAAAACAACCGCGGGAGAACTAGACAGAATGGGTTTTAATATTAAAGGAGCACATGTGGTGTCACAGCGCATTACAGGGTCTTCATTTGCAGCAGTGTGTGGTGCAGGATTTCTCCTTGTCCTTGCACGCGCTCTCGCAGTCCTTCTTGCCCTTACTGCACTCAGACGGACAACTGCCGCAACCTGCCGGGACGAAAAGGGGGAAAACTGACTGAATTCTGCATAACTCTCTTTCAATGATTTAAAGCGTTAGTTAATCGGCTCACTTTTCTTGTCGTGTGCGCATGAGCAGTTAGTGCACTTGCAGTTGTCTCCGCAGTTACAAGATCCAGCTACAACACAGAGATGCAGTGATTACGGTTCATAAATATTTGCTCGTATTACTTATAAATGGCTCATATACTTACATTTGGAGCAGTCACACTGGTCCATCTTTACACCGTAGGTCCAACGATGTATGATGCTTTCGTGGAAGTCTTGTGGAATTAAATGGAATCGCTCCGTCGTGCGTCACAATCACGTGTGACCAATGACCATCATATGATGCGTGTGTGTGTGTGTGTGTGTGTGTGTGTGTGTGTGTGTGTGTGTGTGTGTGTGTGTGTGTGTGTGTGTGTGTGTGTGTGTGTGTGTGTGTGTGTGTGTGAGGCATGAACTGCAATCTCACTCAATAAATGGATTGTTCGCATAAACATAACTACTTGATCAACCTCAGGCCATTAAAGATGTAAGAATATTGAAGATTTTTAGCTTGGCGATATAAGAATGCAAGTCAATGTCGACAGGCTCTTGGCACCTGTCAGTGATGGATGCAGCAAGCTATATTGAAAGATGTTGTGAGTGCAATCTCAATTTGGAAGTCTTTTCACATATTTGAGATATATGTTTTTAATATATGATATGATATTGCCTGTGCTCTGACTATCCTGAAAGCATTAAGGAGCGTTTGCCAAGGCTTTGGATAATAAATCTGTAAAAGAATTGTTGCACAGACCGAGTGTTTCACTTCAAAAGAGCCCAGTGTATCGTCAGAAGCCACAGGTAATCATTTAATATGAACTGTATTTATCATTCATTCAATCATTTTTCCCTGGCTTAGTTCATTTATTAATCAGGTATGTACCGCCAACTTATCCAATTTGTTTTACGCAGCGGATGCCCTTCCAGCCGGAACTCAGGACTGGAAAACACCCATACACTATGGGCATTTTAGTTTATTCAATTCACCTACAGCGTCTTTGGACTGTGGGGGAAACCGGAGAACCCAAAGTAGAAGAAAATGCAAATTCCACAGATAAGCTAACTGGCCCAGTCGGAGCTCAAACCAGCAACCTTTTTACTGTGAGGCAACAGTGCTAACCACTGAGCCATCGTGCCACCCCAACGGTATATTTATTTATTATTATTAATATTTTGACTGAAAGTGGCAGTTAAAATGTTCATTTGTCACCTGTTCACCTGTCATGGGAAATTGACTTCAAATCTTAAACTTTTCCTAAATTTATGACTTTGATATTTTCACAATAAAAAAAATGTGTTTTGTAAATTGAAAATGTAATTTTTGTAGATTTTAGAATAATAAACTCAATAATTAAAAATAAAAATTAAACAATAAAATGGTCAGTGTTTTTTTTTAATAGACCCACATTTAACTTTTAGAGTAAATCTTAAAATGATTAGGGTCCTTGCTCAAAAACAGGAAATAAATAGATAGTGACCAATGCATAAATATAAATTGGCATCATAAGAAAATAAGCTAAATATTACTTAAAGTACTTATCTTAAAGGTGCAGTAGGTGATCTGCCAAAATGCTAATTCTTAACATAACATCTTTGAAACACAGTCCCTCCCTTGCCATCCAAAGCCACGCCTTCTGATGTCATGACAGCAGACAACTCACTAGATCAAGTCATTCGCCAGTAGGAAAACTTTATAATACTCCAATTCAGAACAAAAACCTATTTTATCTATCACGTTTTCAGTTGACAAGCAAAACTTGTCATAATGTGCAATATTTTATGCATGCAAGGATCGCTGCTCTCACTCTCAAACATGCTTTGTCCTTAAGCGACAACTGTATGCTTAATGCTTGGCATGCAGGAATTAAACTTATTACTAAGCCACACTTATATGCTGTTTCAGACCGATTACTAAGAGTAGCATGGTAAACAATGTAGGGAGCACATGAGAAGTGGTCATTGTTCAAAAATGAACCAAGGTGAATATAAACCATCTTCAGCTCATTTAATTTACTATTTACTAAATTTAAATTACTACTATTTACTGATGTTTTGTTGTTAAACTAAATAAAAATCGACATCGATGCTGTAATAGGCCCTTATGAAACTGAAAATAGTCACATCAAACTTTCACTGTAGATTTCAGTGGCTGAACAACACTTCTGTGCATATAACCCATTCATACCAACACAATCTACATCAGCTTTGCGTGACTAAATTAGTTTTAAAACAGAATATTATTTATAATAATTATTATTGTCTAACAGAAATACTTCAGCCATGGTGTGTCATCATTCCTCCAGCGTGCAAAAGTAACTGATATTGATTCAGGACTTTAGGAAGTTTTGATTTAGCTTTTGTATTTACCCTTGGCACTCGAAAGCCACAGAACGAGGCGCGCATTACGTGCAAATGGCGGATCTGCTTGAACGGGGGGCTGCAGATGTACAAATCTACATTTGTTGACAGACAGTTTGGGCTACTTTTCAGAATTAAGGGAATTGTCAGCCTGACAATGTTTATTTGGATGAACATTTTTTTGTCTTATGCCTTACCCAGAATATAAAAATACATATAAATACATTTACATTTAGTCATTTAGCAGACGCTTTTATCCAAAGCGACTTACAAATGAGGACAAGGAAGCAATTTACACAACTATAAGAGCAACAATGAATAAGTGCTATAGGCAAGTTTCAGGTCTGTAAAGTCTAAGAAGGAAAGTATTAGTAGTATTAGTATTTTTATTTTTTGTTTTTTGGTACAGTTAGTGGTATATCCAGAGAGGCAATTACAGATTAGGAAGTGAAGTGGAGACTAAATAGTTGAGTTTTTAGTCGTTTCTTGAAAATAGCGAGTGACTCTGCTGTTCTGATGCAGTTAGGGAGTTCATTCCACCAACGGGGCAGATTGAGCGCGAGCGTTCGCGAAAGTGATTTCTTCCCTCTTTGGGATGGAACCACGAGGCGACGTTCATTCACAGAACGCAAGTTTCTGGAGGGCACATAGATCTGCAGAAGTGAGAGTAGATAAGAAGGAGCAAGGCCAGAAGTCACTTTGTAGGCAAACATCAGAGCTTTGAATTTGATGCGAGCAGCAACTGGCAGCCAGTGCAAACGGACTAGCTAAATACCTTTAGATCACCTACTGCACCTTTATATATTTATAAAATGCAAATGTTCTAACTGCCAGTAAAAAAGCATCAGAGTGGTCTGGTAGTTATATGGGCATTAGACTAATTTAAAAGAAAAAAACCAACATATCTATTAGGGTTGCACGGTTTAATATGGTAGTATCGTGATACTATGTCTCCAAAATACTGCCGGTGCCACTGTTCTTTGTAAACAGTAGTATCGTCATTAACGGTCTATCTACAATACATAATGTTGCATGTGGACATGTCACTAAAATGCTCACACGTTTGTGTAACAATAGACTATTTTATTTGAATAGTCTGTGGAGCACATTAAGGTTGCAAAACTGTGTAGAATTCACGTCTTAATAGTAGCCTATTGCACGTTTTCTAATGCTTCAATTCGAATCTGAATCAGTTCAATTCTGTTCCTGTCAATATGATTTAGTAGCTATAACTACCGCGACAATCTCTTAAAAACAACCGCTCACAAAGTGAAATTTTGAATGACTTTGGTCTCTTACCTGATAAGACAATAGATACAGGACCACTTCATAAAGCCTAACTTGGTTGGGAAAATGCTCCATTTGTAACAAAATTTATTTGGTGTAATTTGTATATTTATTTTAATATAGTATTATATTTTATATAGACTATTTCAATATGCCGATATCGTTGAACCATGAACAGTTCCTGCTAGACATCAAACTATTTAAGAACTGTAACAAGAAGCAATACAGTCATAGCAAGAACGGTCTGGATGCAGACCTGGTGCAATGCAATCTGAGCTGCACCCAATGCTTTTTAATGCACTCACCTAACCCCACCCCTAACCCTACCCCTCACAGTGACGTCACTTGCTCCATTTGAGTGCATTGTGTCTGACATTGCATCACCGAGTGATGCATTCTCAGCTTGTATCATAAAGGCTGCATTCAGATACTATTGGTCATAGCTGATGTTAGCACAGTTGTTATAACATTTCTTTATCATTATGTGGACCTTTTTGGATTTCCGGAAGCTATGGAAATTAAATATCTAAAACAGGAAACACATTAGGAACATTGTTTTGTTTACATCCTTCAAAATGGTCTATGGTATTTCTGACTATATTCTTTATTTCATTGATTTGAGTTATGAATCACAGTTTTGCAATACTTTTGTGTTTCACCATACTTCAGCTGGTAAGTTTGTAACGTAAATTAATGGTATCACGACAACCCTAATATCTGTTTATAAAATCTATTTGTGTAAATCATTGTTAGCTGCATGTTAAAACACCCTCCCAATGTTAGAGGAAAAACAAATCAGTGCACAGCCAGTAGTTGGTGCTAAAGTGTTTTCTTTTTTAATGTAAACATTTCATTGGTCGGTCAGAAGACTAAACCCAGCAGTACAGTGCAGTATCACCCCAAGGGAGGAAAGAGAACATTCAGTGCACTGAACAAAAAAAATCCATCCACAGCAGAGAAAAAAAGAGGAGGAAAACGGGAAAAGAAATCTGGGTTAAGTAACAGGTCATGGTTGAATAAAAGAGTGTGCATGCACCACACACGCACACATCTGTACACACACTCTCGCACATGATCAGTTGAAGAGAGTGAGATAAAAAGAAGCGTTCAGTAATTCACTTATATATGAGTCAGAATTACTGTCTTATCGTTTACGCTCTACAGTCGGTAAGCTAGTTCATTTGTATTCATAGCCCAACATCGATAGGGTGCACAAAGTGTGGGGCGATACAAAAAGATGTAAATACATGCGCTTATTATTATATAAATAAATAAACTACATCATAATTTATACAGAAATGAAACGATTTGAACTATTTGTGCTCATGTTGAGTGAGAATGTTGTCAACGTCACAATTTGTCAAGAGGCTTCATTCGCTGAAAGGCATTTTTACGTCTCAGCCTGAAGCCAACGGACAACTTTGGCTTAAGACATTCAGTTTCTCAAATGACATTCAGCTCTGCTAAAGGATTCCTAGTGTAATGTGCTCTCGGTTTTTAGAAAAGCCTGCTTTTGAGATCATTTTCATTTAGGATCAAGTCAGCACTCACGCAGATGTAACCCTTCGTGCGATTTCACCCGACAAACACTCTCACTCGTCGTGACTGACACTCACACACATGCACTCATGCGTAAAGCATCTATGCCCGGCCGAACGCTCATTTTACACTATACATGCACACCCGTACGTTATTTACTCCAGCAATGTACTGACCAACTACAAAAGAAAACGGGGGATCAATAATCTGAACAAAAAATAAAAATAAAAATAAACTGACAGTGAAATGAAATTAGGGAGTGCCTTGGCCAAAGTCACAGGGGGTGTCAGTTCGGTCACTTGTTACCGTTTTATTTTTGCAGGGCAACAAGTGCATTGGGAGCTCAGTAGAGGCCACAGCCGCGCAGGTTGTTGGCGATGATGATGTCGGTCACAGCATCAAAAACCACCTGGATGTTTCCGGTGTCTGTGGCGCAGGTTAGATGACAGTAGATCTCTTTGTTAGGAGAGCGGTTCTTCGTTTCAAACTGACCCTGAATGTACGAGGCGGCCGCTTCGAATGTATTTGGGCCTGCAGAAGAGATTAAACATGATGTCAGAGTTTATAAATTTCTCATTTTACATCAATGTGAGGTAGGATTGGGCGATGTCGACCAATTTGGCATCGTACAATGTCTAATGTGAAATGAATGTGATAGATGCTGGCATCGTCGTCGTAGGAAGCGGTGAATTCATTCTTTATGATTAATTCATCAATTCATAACGAATTAATTATTTTGTATTTTGCTTACCATTTCAATACCTGATCACCTGATAAATAAAGATAAGTGACACACAAATTACCATCCGTTAATCACTATTTCCACGAGACTCTGGCATGAATAGGCAGAGTGGTCTGTATCGTTATAATGGCGTTGACAAACTTGGTTGGTAAAAAAGGTGCACAACCAACAGCAACCAACAGTATCTGAGGTTTTCACTAAAACTATTACAAAGTACAAGCATGAAAGTGAAAGATTGAAGCAGTGTACTGACGGTGTGACACGTTACCTGATACATTCAAAAGACCGAGGAGTTGTTAGATAGAGACCAGATTAATTAAATATTACGTTTAACAACTATAGTGAGAGGTAATCCAGCAGTACATCCTTAATAAACCGCTCGACGTGCACTGCCCACAGGAGTTTGTGCTCAAAGCACCCGCTGACTGCTGGAGCTCAGACGCATACATACGCTGCAGCTCATGAAAGAGGGTGTGTGTGTGGTCACGTGATCCTTCAGCGATATAGTGTGGAAGGAAGGCTTTTCAGAAATGCTGACGTGGATTGTTTTTGTTCTTAAATGGCATTTTAAAACTAAGACGTATTAGTGCAAACGAGGCCTGAGTGTGTGTTTTTCGTGAGTGGGTTGCTGCTGTGACGGCGTCGGAGGATCGCTCAGCATCGTGATGTCTAGCATCTGGCATCATCTATCAACCCAACCCTTTTGTGAGGTTGATGTACCTGTGTATTCCGGGAAGCAGATACTCAGAGGAGATTTGACAATCTTTTCACCAAAAAGGTCTTTTTTGTTGAGGAAGAGGATGATGGAGGTGTCGACAAAGAACTTATTGTTGCATATAGAGTCGAAGAGCATAAGAGACTCGTGCATACGGTTCTGCAGAGGAAGAGAAAGAAAAGAGGGCGAATCAAACATCTGCATTTGGAATCTGGATATAAACACATTGACTCTTAAAGGAACACTCCACCTTTTGTTTTGTTTTGTTTTTTGGAAAAAAGGCTCATTTTATAAGGAACCTAAATGGTTACATTTTACCATTTTTTAATCTATTCAGCCAATCTCTGGGTCTGGCAGTATCCCTATTATCTTAGCTTAGCATTGAATCGGATTAGACCATTAGCATCCAGAAAAAAAGTTCTGATAATTTTTTTATTAAAAGCTTGATTCTTCTGTAGTTACATCGTGTACTAAGAAAGTTGGAACTTAGTTAAATCATTGGTCATATGTGGCACATTTTTGCAATAATAGGCAAAAATGCACTATATACTTAAAATAAATCACAGAATAGATGATGATATTTAACTGTATCATTTGAAATAATTAAATCAAATGGGTAAAACATTTTATTTAAAGAAATAGTTTTTAATTAGTATTTAAAATGACTATTATCAGTATTTAGATTTTTGATCTCTAAATAGAATCTTTTAATGTAACCATGGACCACAAATTGAGTACATTGTTTGTCAGGAATGGGGATAAGACAATAAACAACCAAGGCTCATTATAGATACACACCCCTGTATATAATTCTGAAGAGAGCAAAATATGTCCCAGCAGGAGGTTCATTTTTTTTTTTGCAGTTTTTGTTTTCGTGAATCCACAAGAGGCCGCTGTTTATGCTTACCATGCTCTTACCCTGTTATTTACTTGTTTTATTTATTTATTTTATTTTTTTTGCCTTTTGATTTTGGTTTACCAGCTTTCTGGAACCGTCGTTGCAGTCAACTACTCTTTGTGTCTGAAGTCCGCCAATGTATGTGGCGAGGCACTGGACAAACTAGTAACAGCAGAAAAAGCCGTCCACATTGAAGTAAGTGGTCAACTGGTAGCATGAAAAGAATCGGTAGCCAGCGCCAAACTGCCCCGTAGCGTTTGTTTTAAAGACAAAATGCAGCCATGCATAGCTATGGCTACATGATTAGCACTCCAGATATGTATACAGGTATAAGTTTTAATGTATGAACGTTTTCACAGTCAGCCTGTGTTACAAATATTTGGCTGAGATACAATTATTAAAAATGTGAGTGTTCAAAAAAATCTCAAAAATTTTAAATGGTCTAAATTAAGCTGATGGCAACGCTCATTCCTAGAGAAAATGACGTTTTTAATTATTTACATTAGGATATTTACTAAATATCTCCATGGAAGATGATGTTTATTTAATAATACAATGATTTTTGACATAAAAGGAAATCAATCATTTTGACCCTTACAATGTATTTGTGTTTATTGCCAAATACCCATACAACATAAGACTGGATTCAATCAAATAATTCATTTTCTAAATGTACCTGACCAGACTTTTAGAATATACTGGTGAAGTCGGTAATTGAGCTAATTTAATAATTCAGATCAGTTTCAGCTTTTTGTCAATGTAAAATTAATTATTATTACAAACAGCAAATTAAAAGATAAAGATGTCTTTTTTTCAAATTAATTTACTGTGAAATGTCATAATGTGAGAAAACAAGTAGTGTAAAAGATCAGGCAAGTGTAGAGAGTGGTAGTTTTCACCGTGGTCTCATCTTCATGGAGCATTTGGTCGTATCCGCTCATTGCCACACAGAAGATAATGGCTGTCACATCCTCAAAGCAGTGAATCCATTTCTTCCTCTCTGATCTCTGTCCTCCCACATCAAACAGCCTGAGGACAAACATCACACACTCTCAGGACACATGTGAAGCCATATACACGCATGTGTGCACACACACAACACTCAAATCAAGCAGGTCAGAATGCATATTAATACACAAAGTAGGTCAACTAAACATGAAACCACACCGATGAAGGGAATTCAAATAAATCACCATATTTTCAGTTCCTTATTCACAAACACACTTTGATGTGATTCTACATCTAAGTCCTCTTTCAACTCAACGAGAGATTCATAATGATCTTTTGCAATGATTTATTTTCTAAAATGTCACTTTTCTACTTAAAATTCATATTAAAAATATAAGATACAAGTCAAAAATGTTTTGATACAAGTTTCAAAAAAGCTTTACATAAATTATATTATTTCAGAAAAACGACTTAATGTATAAGTGAGTGATATGACAATATAGTCTAATGGTGATTATTAAAATGATTCATTAGTAATTATGTAATAAAGGTCAAAGACAGAAATGGCCTTTTAAGCATTAAATGAGAAATGTGTAATAATATTTGCATGTTTAAGAATTCAATCTACAATACAATTTGATCAAAACATGATAAATATTAATATTTATAACTTATTCTTTAATATTTTTAATAAGTAGTAGCTAGGATAAGTATGTTTTTCATTTTTACACTGAATGATGCCGGATCACTGGATTATTCATTCATTCATTTATTTCCTTTTCGGCTTAGTCCCTTTATTGTCGCCACAGTGGAATGAACCGCCTACCTATGCACTATACACTCCAAAAAAACATAATTTTTTTGCTTGTACTTAATTAAAACGAGCTGAAACAACACAATTCTTGAGATTTCATTGAGACAACTTAATTTTTTATGTTCAATTCACATAAATTTGTTAAAAGTGTGAAGTTAACTTAATCCATTTGTGTTGGGTCAACATGAATGATTTATGTAAAACCCTGCATTTTTTACAGTGGATGTTTTACGCAGCGGATGACCTTCCAGCCGCAACCCAACGCTGGGAAACACCCATACACAGTTGCATTCACAAACATACACTACAGACAATTTAGCTTATTCAATTCTATCCTATAGCGCATGTCTTTGGACTGTGGGGGAAAACGGATCACCCGGAGAAAACCCACGCAAACACGGGGAGAACATGCAAACTCCACACTGAAATGCCAACTGACCTAGCCGGGGCTCGAATCAGCGACTTTCTTGCTGTGAGGAGATCGTGCAACCCACTGCGCCATCATGACGCCCCATCACTGGATTATTTCACCCATATTTTGAAATGTTTTGAACAAAAGTCATTTAAATCATTTGTTTAAATGTTTTCAACGTATATAAAATCACAAAGTTTGATACAGGTTTTACAAGGTGATATTAATGTGACATACATCAAGTCAATTTCTCCCTAAAAAATGCAATACTGAATAATAAGTAGTAATTATTATTCAGTATTATTCAAAGTTATTATCCATTTTCTATTAATATGAATTATTATTATTTATTATTAATTCTTCTTCTTACTGTTATTATTATTATCATCATTTTAGGATGCACAAAAAAATGCAATAATAATAATAAAAAAATATATTAAAAAGTTTAATTCACATAAGACAATCCAAACTCAACATACCTAAAGTTAAGATTCTTGAATGAAAAGTGTGTCTCGACAATGCCAGTAGTTTTGACTCGGGTTCGGAGAATGTCTTGTTCAGTGGGCAGGTAATCTGGAGAGCCGATGCGCTGCAAACTATCAAGGTAACTGAAACACAGAAGGTCCATGTGTTATTTAATGACATATAATAGGCCCACTCTTTGGATTATCATGATTGTATTTGTGTGTGTGTGTGTGTGTGTGTGTGTGTGTGTGTGTGTGTGTGTGCGTAGACTAATTCACCTAATTTCACCAAGTTGTTAATGGGACAACAACTGTCTTAGCCAATTAGCTCTTGTAATGTCATCACATTTAAAACAGCTTTGCAAAAGTACTGTTTAAAAATATACATTAATTACAATAGTTTGCTTCCATAGTTTATTATAGTAATAATAATGTGCATTTTGCTTTATGGCTTAGCTTTTTAACACAGCAAAAGAAAGGTCACTCTAGTTTGCCTGGATGAGATAGCCAAGGTGCTAACATTGATTGAGACCGGGTTGTTGTCATGAGTACATCTGTCACTGGTAAAACATTGGTCTAAGAACCTTAACCACTTAGTAATAATGTGACTACCATATATATATGTGTGTGTGTGTGTGTGTGTGTGTGTTTATGTGTGTAGAAACTGACTATTGTGCAGAGTCGTTAAGCTGATACTCTCGTGAGCGGTTGAAGCATGCTTGAGTTCCAGTATCAGTCCACAAACGAATCATTGCAGCCAGCAGCTCTGTGGAGTACGGCTCTGTGTCTTCCATACGACCCACCACATCAAAAACCATCTTAGCATCTGCCTGCAAACACATGGAGAGGTTTAAAAGGGCGAATTGCATCGGCAAGCACGATTTCATACACTAGGTGTCACTGTAGCTCAACGCATTATGCGAGAAAGAGGATTGGGGTAAAGCAAGGTGAGGTCAGTCACCGAGGAAAATCTAATGCAAACATTAAAGAACACTGAAAATCAAAACAAGTGTGCACTGGGAGATTAACAGTAAGAACATTAACTGTTGTGTTCTGCCACTTTGTATTGTTTTTACTTACTCCCACAGCCATTTATATTGAAGTTGATATTTAGCCGCACCACACATCTAGTTTTTATAAGGTGAGTTGCTAGCCAAACGCTCAAGCCCCAATCTGGAGGACCAGGACATACACACATACACTACAGACAATTTAGCTTTTCTATTGTTTTTACCAACTTTAAATTTATATTATTTATTAACTTATACTATTAATAAAAGTATGTGATTAATTATACTTCCATAATAGTACATATTTTAATTCTAATAAAAGTCTAAATATAAACTATTAATTATATTAAACTATTAATAAAAGTCATTATACTATAACAAAAATATATATTATACTATACTATTATACTAATCATAAAAGTCTATATATACTATTTCTATTTTATTATACTATTATAATAAAATATATACATTAGACTATACTATTTTAGAATAATACATACTGTTGTTAAAAGTCTATATATACTTTTAATTACCTTAAACTATTAATAAAATTCATATTATTATAATATTATGAATGTGTGTGTGTATATTATATATATATATATATATATATATATATATATATATATATATATATATATATATATATATATATATACTATTAATTTCCAATGCTGGGATGTGCTGGTAGGGCATCCGATGCCTAAAACATATGCTGGATAAGATGGAGGTTATTTCCGCTGTGGCGACCTCTGATTAATAAGGGGACTAAGCTGAAAATAAATGAATATACTAATAATAAAAATCTATATATACTATTTATTCTATTATACTCTCAATAAAAGTCATGAAACCCGAACAAAGTTTGTATGGAGTATTTGTATTTGGACATATGTCGATACTCAACAATTCAATATACTGTGATAATGAGTGTGCACAAAACCGATAATGTGGAAAATAAATATTTATTGTGTAAACCTTTGAGAACATTCGGATTGTTGGATTAGTGGTCTTTCATCACAGCAATTGCTTGAAGGCTTAATAGACTGTCTATTGTCAAACGGGAACATTTTCACATTATAATCTGGCCTACGACATAAAATTTCTGTCACTATTTTTAATTGTAATGCTGTTTATGTTAATTTCTTAGTCAATGCCTAATGGCAAACATCATAATTGTAATAAATGGAGGTAAAAGGTAAAAAAAATCCAGTTATTGCGAAATCTACAAAGATTTGCACTACTTTTTAAAATAAAAACTGTAATATGCCTTTTTCTCACTGTTGATTTTAACGCATTACCTAATGTTTACTAACAAGACTTTATTGTAAAGTGTTACCTATTGTACTTCTGCAATTTATTTTATTAAAAACATTTATTTTGAACATCTGAAGATGGCGGTTCATTCCACTGTGGTGACCCCTGATAAATAAGGGACTAAGCCGAAACAAAATGAACAAATGAATGAATTTTGCACTGAACATGTATAGACAATAAAGTATGTTTTGGTTATTAAATCTGTTAAAATAACCTTTGTTATTGCGACAATACTATATATCATGATAAAAACTATAATATTTTGATACATTTGGAGATTTATCAATAAAATTTGATTGCATACTTGGAATCTTCTTCTTTTGCCACACCACTTCATTAGTCAATTCGCAAGTGTGTGCATATATGTTCATGTGTGTATACATACTAATCTGTCCTTGTCTGAGTACTCTATTCCAAGAGTTTCCATGGCTCGCAAGATGGCGGAGAGGCTCTGAATGGTGTTGCTATAGACCACAGGTTTAAACTGCTTTACATCATCTCCAGAGAACCCATCTTCATGGATAATCCTGACGCAGACACACAACAGATGAAAGCCATTATAAACACACACACAACATGCAAACACGAAAGGTCAACGGCTATAATGCATGTATATATCCATATGGCTGGGATGTGTGGTAGCAAAAATAGTATGATTAGAGATTATGCAATGAAACTGCTGCGTTTCTGAAGACTCTATAGTAGTTGTTGGTTGTTTTAATATTTTTAACCACAAGTTAAACTGTAACCATGTAATAACTGCATAACAGTAATAAAAAGTTAAAGTGTAACTAGTGTGAGTGTATTTAAAACCTCAAAATATGCCTACGGTCGGAGATATAGTTGTGTGAGATTTGAATTACAAAAACTTTGTAGGTGGAGTGAAATGAGCTCATGTATGAAATAGATTATTTGTTTATTTAGAACACAATTAATTTGTTTTAAAATGCAGTCACTAGACACACACCCGCACACACACACTTTTAAAAAACAAGAGTTTTATATTTGTATCTTGTTAGTTAAAGTGATGTTAACTATTAATAGTTTTTTATGGTTATAAACAGCTTTTAAGCGAAATATTCTAACGTAAAGAACATTTTAATAATCTTTAAAATGGGTTTTTATTCTATGATAAGGACTTGCTTGTGCAATGACAAAGCTTTTACTGAAATAAAGGTTATAAGGATGGCATTGAGGATCAATCTTTGGTTCCAAAAATAATTTTTCAATGAAATGTTTTTTAAACAATCTTTTTTTTTTTTGTCTTAGTATGAAAACCAAATGCTAAATAATAAATGGAAAGGTTATTTGTATGTTAAACATCCATCATGGAATCACACTCTTAAAAAATAAAGGTTTTATTTTCATGAAGAACATTCAGCATTCACAGAACATCTTCATTTCACAGGTTTCTTAACCCTTTAACTGAATTTTTGGATTGCATTTCTTAACTCCTAATGTCGCTAGTTAACACACTCGATGGATATTTTTTTTATCCCATAATTTCTAAATATCAGCCTCTACCAAATGGTAGATATGTCAGTTCATGGTAAAAGTACTGGAATGATATACTATGAAAAATTAGGGGAAAAAAAAGAAAAGACCAATTGCTTTAAAAGCATAATAAAAATAAAACATTTTTAAATACGAAATCACCTTTATTTTTATGTATTTTTGAAGAAGTATGCCATAAAATATTTCAGATTCTCATTTAATGTTTTCTTTTTTGTAGAATAAAGCCAAAATCAAGTGTAACAGGGTTATATTTGTTGATTTTTTGTAAACCAATAATGCTGTGTGTAAACCATTATTTAAAACAGCCATTCTTTAAATGACTTTAACACTCATTATTTAAAACAGTCAAAAGATGGTCAACCATTTGGTAGAGCGGGCAGTCAAAGGGTTAATAGGGAAGTTTCTTTACATTATTAATATGTTCTTGACTCAAAAACAAAATGTGTCCTCTACTGCAATAAAAAAAAACAGTGATTTAATTTATAAAGCTGAATGGATATGTAAGGTTTGCCATGGAACCAAAGATGCCAATAAACAGTTTTAATATTTTTAAGGAGTGTATATGTGCATCCGTAGTTATGAAATGTAAGGTTAGGTGGCATAGTCCCGGTAAATCCGTTTAATGGGCGGATAACGCTAAACGAGACTGCAGGGATCAGGCACTAAAAGCCACCCATTAAGATTAATACAGAGAAAGATTCTAATGCCTCTCTCTCTCTCTCTCTTACACACACTCAACACAATACACAACACACACACACACACACACACTCATGAACTCTATGTCTCTCAAGCACACACAGAGGACAAAATGAACACAGGCCTTAATGCATAACATGCCACAGCACACAGATTAAATGCGCATGACGAAAACGTGAAACGTTAAGGAAGTTTAGAGCCCCGACCGTCAGAAACAACTGCAAGGTGCACGGGCGCTCTCGAGCTTCACTGCACACATGCGAATAACACACACACACACACACACACACACACTGAACAGCGCTGTCTCATGGGGAGAGCCTGTGTTTCAGCACTACCACACACAGAACAGCGCGAGACAAACACTTTCCGGTCTTCAACATCGCCACGAAGCGAGCAGAAAACACACAGCAGATGTAAAAATACGAGAAGCCGCACTTACTTCATCTGTTTGACGATGGTGCTCTTGCCCGACTCCCCTCCGCCTGCGGAGACACAGCCCGTGTCAGTGCCACACACACACACACACACGCTCACACACACCTGCAGGCAGCATCCTCATTCCCCGATCCCGCTCCACTTACCCAGCAGCAGTAATTTGACATCTTTGGCTGCGCTTATTCCGTCCTCCTTCAGGTTTTTCTCGATGGCTCTGCTGCGATCCAGAGCCGCGCGCTCCTCTGCACTTAACGTGCATCCCATTGCAAGACCGAGAGTCGGGACGCGCGACAGCTGTATCCCAAAAATCCGTCTCTGTCCCACACTCTCTCCTCTCGCGCTCGCCGAACAGTCTGCCGATCGTTGCTAAAGCATCCAAACCGAATCGAGGTCAGGGACAGGCTCGCGCTCCGGCCTCTGGATTGGGAGGAGGTCGTCCTGCTCGCGCTCCGGATCGCGGGTGTCTATTGGGCGGCGGCAGTGACAGCCTGCACGAGCTCGGCTCATCCTGTAGTTCCCTCCTAATGCGCGAGGGGCAAACCCCTCTCATCCTGACGTCACAGCAGAGCAGGGTATGGCGCGAGAACATCTGCTTTGTAGCAGCCGAAATATAAAACACTGAAGGGGTTTGATTTGCTTCTGGGTGAACTGGATATTTGGATGTTTGATTTATTCACAATTATTTTAACTTACTTAAGTGGAACTACTGTAGGATGATATATAATGTATATTTGTGTGTGTTAAGGGTTTCATATTTGTATGTTTCTGATATTTTTGCAGTTTCATAATAATAACAATATGAATTTATTCATCTTTTTTACACATTAACAGAGTATTCCACTCAGCATTTAATCTGGGGTTGTCCATATTTTATACCGTCCATATTAATTTGGTCAAAACCAGTTTGCGTTTCTTTTATTTACTGAATAAATTCATTCATTCATTCATTTTCTTTTCGGGCTTAGTTCCTTTATTAATCAGGGATCGCCACAGAGTAATGAACCCCCCACAGTGTAATGAACCGCCAACTTATCCTGCAGCGGATGCCCTTCCAGCTGCAACCCAGTATTGTGAAACACCCAAACACTTGTATTCACACTCGTACACTACAGACAATTTAGTTTATTTAATTCACCTACAGCGCATGTCTTTGGATTGTGGGGGAAACCCACACCAATATGGGGAGAACATGTAAACACAGATATGCCAACCGACCCAGCCGGGACTTGGACCAATGACCTTGCGGTAAGGCAACATCACTACCCACTGCTCCATCATGCCTCCCCTTAATACTAATAATGCACATTAATATTACTTTTGTACTAATTTACTAATCCTAATGATTAATATAACTTTAAAGAAAGCCGGAAACATGTAACCATTGACTTCTACAGTGTTTGTTTTTCCGATTAAAGACGTCAAAGGTTACTGTTTTCCAACTTGCTTTAATACCTTCCTTTTTGTGTTCAAGGGAATAAACTAAAACAGGTTTGAAAAGTGAAGGGTGAGAAAATGGTCCATTTTCATTTATGGGTGAACTATCCCTTTAAGCTACTAAAGACTGGCAAAAGATAGTCTTCCAATCTGATTGGCTGGCAGCAGGTTTCTCTAAGCAAATCTGATTGCTCCACTCACATACTCTGAATCACAGACCTGCTTCAAGTGTCACTTGCTGACATGAAAAAAAATGTAAATGCTTTAATTTTTTTTTTTTTGCTGGAAAATATGCATGGCCTTGTATGACAATGTTTTTATAATAAATTTTTGCATTAAATAACCCATGATTCCGATTTACATATATTCATGAAAAATACAAAACCCAACATTTCACACGCCAGGCCAATTGTTGGCAATGTCAATTGTAAAGAAACACTAACCGTGTGAGTCCTGTAACCTGTCATTGTTGTTTTGATTGTCAGGTACAATACTTGCTCATGTCTATAGGATCAACACATAATATGTATGCACACAGGTGGCTCTGTGACACAGTGGTTAGCACTGTCGCCTCACAGCAAAAAAGATGCTGGTTTGAGCCCCGGCTGGGACAGTTGGTATTTCTGTGTGGAGTTTGCATGTTTTCCCTGTGTTCACGTGGGTCCAAAGACAGAACCGAATAAACTAAATTGGGTGTAGTGTATGTGTGTGAATGAGTGTGTATTGATGTTTCCCAGTACTGATGCGGCTGGAAGAGCATTCGCTGCGTAATAACATATGCTGGAGAAGTTGGCGGTTCATTTCATTGTGGCGACCCCTGATTAATAAAGGAATTAGGCTGAAGGAAAATGAATATATGAATGAATGTATGCACACAGCGGCACTGTTTTCACTAATTCATATTTTGTAGTTTCCACAGAAAGTAACAGTATAGGCCTATAGTCTTTTAAAAACGTTCACTTTCAAACACGTGTAACCGTTCACATTTTCAAATCCCTGATACTCAGCTGTTGTGTAAATGAACAGCCAGTGCCCATAAACCATTTCCAGTTTTTAGATTTTTTTTACATGCATAAAATGTATCCTGTTTAATTTTTTTCTTTATTTTATAAAATAATGACGAATACTGTCATGTTTACGTAGATGCTTGTTGATTATCATCCCCATTTTCTTTTCCAGTCATTGCTTCAGCTGTTTAGTTGATGTAAAGTGAGTGACTGTGCTTTTGTTGGTCTCCATGGCAACCTATTATACCTGTATATCCTCATTTCTTTTTTTGTTCCTCCCTGTATATACACTGCCCTGACAAAAGTCTTATTGTCCATCCCAGCTGTAAGATCAACAAATAATAACTTGACTTCTCTAATCATTTGGAAAAGTTACAGAAAATAGATTTTCCTGATGAATTATGTTGAACTGCATCCTAATCATAACAAATACTGCAGAAGACCTACTGGAACTGACATAGACCCAAGATTCTCAAAGAAATCAGTCAAGTTTGGTTAAGGAAAAATCATGGTTTGGGGTTACATTCAGTGGGGGCGGTCTGCAGAGTGGATGGCAACATTAACAGCCTGAGGTATCAAGACATTTGTGCTGCCCATTACACTACAAACCACAGGAGAGGGCAAATTCTTCATCAGGATAGTGCTCCTTCTCATACTTTAGCCTCCACATTAAAGTTCCTGAAAGCAAGGAAAGTCAAAGTGCTCCAGGATTGGCCAGCCCAATCACCAGATTTAAACATATTGAGCATGTCTGGGGTAATATGAAGGAGGAGACATTGAAAATGAATCAAAAGAATCTTAATGAATTCTGGGAGTCCTGCAAGAAGGCTTTCTTTGCCATTCCAGATGACTTTAATAGTAAGTTATTTGAGTCAGTGCAGAGATGTATGGATGCAGTCCTCCAAGCTCATGGGAGTCAGACACAATATTAATTTATTTTTCCACTGCACCATGACTTTAAATGTTATACTGTACATTATTTATGTTAAGTGACAATACTTTTATCATAGCAAAGTCAGACTTTACTGTCCTAATTAGATAATTAAAAATCAAGGCATGATCATATTTTATTTTGATAAAATGAGCGTAATCTAGAGGCCTTTGCCTTTCATATAAGCCACTTGTGATACCAAATGATCAACTAGAAGTCAAGTTATTATTTGTTGTTCCTAAAACTTGGATAGGCGACCAGACTTTTGTCAGGTAGTGTATAGCCCTTAGCTTCATTTGCTTCTAGACATTTTTTTTGTCAGTCTAAGTGGGTTGTGTTTAGGTATTATTTAGCAGTTTGAAACAATATATTGTAAAGAAAATAGAAAAACAAAATACCATAACCATTTTCTGTTCATAATTAATTAGACCAACTCAGACAATGTACTGTTTTTTAATTCAACATGAAAAGTTGAAGCAGAGATCGATGTCCCATATTGCAGTTTAAAAGAGTAAATAAACAGAAGACACCCATCAATTATGAGGAACTATTACTTATCAGATATGATTTTACCGCATACTTTAAATCAGGGGTTCCCAAACTCTTCAGCCCATGGCTGCTAAAATAAGTGGCTCGCGACCCCCAAATTCCTGAGAGGTGGTTATAAATATAAAAACGTTGCTCACACAGGAATAGGCCTATATGAACACTAGCATTCTGACAATAAAAAAATGTGCAACAACCATATAGTGTTTATAGTCACTTAATAATTTGTTTAATACTAACCTCAACTAATGAAACTGGTGGGTACAATGTTTTCAGCACAAGTCTATTCTTGGTTTGATTTTGGACATCGCCACTCAGAGAACATCCTCAATATTCAGTTGTGGACTGTATTTATTTTGGATGTATTTGATTGCCATAAAGGTGTCAGAAAGTTTAACCTAGTGCTATAAAATCAATCCGCTGCAGCTGACGCTATTGCTGTGTTGTTAATATAACGTAAACACACCAATCCAAAAATAATTTACAGGCTGATGGATTTTCATTTGCATGTTGTCGTTTTTATACAAATAATTTTTTTTTTTATCTTCTGTGTGCTATTACCAAAATTACCAAGTGACCCTGTCATTGTCCCACAACCCCAACGTTGGAAACCACTGCTTTCAATCACTATTTGATTTTAATAATTCTCATATGCATTACATTACATCATACATTTTTTGCAATTGGCGAAAAAGTCCATTCAAATTTCTGGGAATCCAACGAATGACCTTGGTGCAGTAAGTTTAAATCTCAAACAGTCAAGTTACATGAACATCCATGGAGATAGAGCCCAGATATTCTAATATTCAACACAAATAACCCCCCCCCCCCTAATCCACTGCCAGTCTTACAGCTCTAAAAGATTCCTGTGGATTTCTCTAATGCGTAACCCCTGGCATACGAGCCAGATGTTCTGCTGCTGGATTTTTGACAGCAACACACATAATAACACTTTAAGAGTTTGTGCTTCAGCAACCGTTAAATGGGCGAGACGCTTTGAGGGATGAGATCACTCAGTGAGTTTTTAATATCTAGTAGTGCAAATCTCCGGAGATCTTAGAATATCCTTTAAAACACCACCACCGTTTCACACATAACAAACTGTCATTCTACAGGATTAGCATGCAGACGGCCAATGTTTGCACAGGAAAATAAAGCACATTTTAATATTGGAAATGTTTATGACACATGAACATGCACACATAGCCGGAAAAACCCAGAGAGCTCCAGGTAGAGATGACTATCTGACTGATTCTTTGAAATGTGACAATGGGGAGGGGAAATGTAATACATAACTTCAGCTTTGATTTTATGCCTAACCCAGCCCTGAATGCAAAGGACCCTTCGCTTTGTGAACACACACACACACACACACACACACACACACACACACACACACACACACACACACACACACACACACA